CAGAAGCACATACTTGCCGTTTAATCATGGTCAGTACTGTTCACTATTCAGTCAGTACAGATGGGCAAGTCACTTTAGATATTAAGCATGGTAAGACTTATATAAAGTTGTTAAATAACTGATCATGCTAAGGGAAGTTAATATGTAATTTCCTGCTTTAAATGAGCATTATTTAAAATAGAATTTAAGTAGACACACACTTTGTTTTTTAAAATAATATTTAAGTGGTCCCACACTTTGCTCTTAAAATAGAATTTGAATAGTCACACACTTAGATGTTTAAGGTTTTTCATTAGTTTTGGAAGTTCTCCGAAGTTTTCTCTTGGCATAGAGACATATCCTAATGAAATCTCTTGTCATGGCACATCAGTAATTATAGAAGTCTCTGGGACTTTGAAGAATTTTCTCTGGGGCCCAGTCATTAAGCATTCAGCAGTTATAATTACCATTGATTTACTGGTCATTGTATGTTTACCCCCTGTCATTGGATGAGTAATCTAATGGAATGGCTATTGTCTGGACAGTAAGCTGATCTAAGGTGACAATATCAATTTTATTGGTGTGGTCAGGCTATTTTGACATTTAGTGGTTTTCTGAAATTCCAATATTGTATTAGCATATTTATAGAATGGTTTTGTTTGTCTGCTATGATACTGTAATTGAATAATTCAGGTCAAGAATCACTTCAGGCACATTTTAATTTGATTTAAAATACGATTTTTCTTTGAAATTTTTTCTATCAATACATGAATTAGAAAATATTTACATGTACAAACTACATGTACATCTTAAATTTGCCTTGAAAAAAGCATTTTGCTTTATTATAGATTAACCCATCAATATACAAAATGTATCACAAAAGATAATGCTTCAAAGTTTTCTTTTCACTAAAATACTAGAATACCAAAGATCATACATTTTATGAGATGAAAGATGAGACAAAACAAAATAACTTGTATTATTATAATGTAGCAAATGAAACAGCCTGACATTTAAATATCAATTTGATATTTCACAGCTATGAAACATACCAATTTAGGAATGTAAAAAAAATTGCATCAGGAAAAAATGTGTTTCACCATCCCATATTGGCTATTGTACAATATATGATAGGGGTTTAGAGGAGAGTGTAACATTGATATATACCAAATTGAGGCTGCCACAAGGGCGTACTTTATTATCTTGTATTTGCCCTGTCTGGAAAGCTGTATTGATTTTAGAAAGATGCTATTGCGTTTCACTAGATTCATATAGAATTCACATAGAAAAGTCTAAGTGTCGCCCAACGAAATTAATATAATATTATGTATCAGAACAGTAAAAACCTTTTAGTGCATACTTGCCTTTTTTAGAGCAAATCTACTGATATTGCACTTTTTATAATGCACTATTTATATGAAAGATTATAGATACTGTACATATTGCATCTGGATAATTTCAGGAATTTACAGGCTACATCTGTTATTGAACGTAAACTTTAAACTATGCATATGTATGTAGCATATATAATTATGTTCAATTTGCAATCCTTTAATTAATTTTTTTCTCCATCTGATGGTTGCCTGGATTCATATTAGTATTCTTTATCATCATTAACCTAATTGCTGTCAATTTCCATACTTATATAAAGTCATGGAACAGTTCAAAGCACTCAAAGAGTGACAGAGTGTTTTATTTAGAGCTATATTGCTATATTTAGCTTAAATAAGATATTATAGACTTTTACACATTTTGTATGGCCACACACAACAGTAGATAGTTCCGTTATATCTCAATGAAAAGCAAGAATTATAAAAGATTTTATACAGAATACTTCTGTATGAATATTATTGAATAGACATTGTAATAATATAAAGCTGTTGCTGGTATGTAACATAGTATAATTGATTAGATATGTCACATACCTGGCCAACCTGGCCATGTTGAATGTCTTCGCTGTCTGGCAATGGTTAAAATGCTGGTATACTTCACACAGATCCACTCCTGTATTGATGATAAGTGTAGGAGGATTTCTGTTTAGTTTGGCAAACTTTATCCCTTGTTACCCTAATATAAAACTGATTAATGAGCCATGTTGCATTTTCTGTATTGATTTTCCAATATTTAGATTGCAGTCTTTGAGTTATAATTGATAGATGTAAAGGAAAACGTTGAATGAAAGGGTTGTAATTTTGGAAGAAAAGGGAAAGAAACACAATCTGGCAATGAAATCTGACAGTTTTTCGATAAGCTGGCAAATTTATTATTTGCTTTGAAATAAATCTTAAGATATTATATAGTTGGCAATAGAATTGAAGCAATTACTAAAGAATGTTTTCTTCTACATGGTATAAATTCTGTTGTAAACATTATACTATACAATAATTTTCCTAGAATCTAGGGCAGATATTTAGATGGATGTCCCAAGAGTGGATTGATTACTGGGGTATTATTCTTGCTGTATTGTATTGTGAATAAAGAAAATGTTTGCCAATAAAATAATGAGTGAAAATACTGAACTCTTGACACCTATCTCTTACCCTTATTGATCTGTAAAGAAAATTTTTAGGAGTTAATTAATCTTGTACAGATAAATAACATGTCCTGAGAGAGACATTTAAGGTGAGAAGAAGTCAATTTGGTAAATATTTAGTGGATGATCAAGCTTATATATAAAGCTGGTCCAAACTAGCAGGAACTAAATGTTTACAAACTTTACAAGAAAAGCATTGATGCAAAGCATCAAAGGGCGACGCCAAAAGAATTTGATCCAGGTTTGCACCTAAATACTTAACAAAAGATGTGTACTTTATAGCAGTACCATTTCATGTGATCTGGAGGCTAGGCCCAGTTTAAGTTGAAACTTAAACCAACAAGATTGCATTTGAGAAAAATGCTATGCCACCGCAATAAAACAACACTAAATAGTAGTGTAGGAACAGATTTTTTTGTTTCTATACAATTGAAAATTGTCATAATGCATATCTAATTCTTATTATCAGATTAGTGGTTAAATCTATTGTTAACTCAATAAAAGATCAGAGTAGGAATATATCAATGCACTTGAGTCTAGTGAATTTGGTGGTGAAGGTCATATTTCACACAGCCTAAAATTTCATGACTGCATCAAAGGACAACATGTAATACACTTTGTCAAAATCTAGGTCAGCTGATATCAAAGTTCACTTTTAATTTTGACACTAGAGGCAAAATTTGAACAACTTTGGTAGAGTACCTATATATGATATCATTTAACAAATATTAAAGCTCTAAGCCTTGTACCTTCAGACAATAAGATTTTTTTGATTTTTTACTATATGTATATATTGAAAATCAATGACCCCGACACTAGTATGCACATTACATTAATAATTCTCAGGTTCCATTAAAAAAAATATTACATCCTATTAACAGGAATTCATAATCTTGTAGAAAGAAAACAATTATGATATTGTATAGTATAAAAGTAAAAAAAATCTCAAATAGTCTATATCATGTGATACAGATTAAGTTGTGTTAGTGTCTAAACATTAAATGCATATCTCTTACAGTAACAAATACTGTCCCTCTTTTAACCTTCCATTAGACTTTACTATACAATGTATAACTAACTGCATATAATGTAATCAAGTGTTTAAAATGAGCACCTATATGTATAGCTTAAATATTCTACCTTTCATTTTTACCAAAGGTTATTTTAGTAACAATTCATTTACAAACACATAGAAAATAATAATTTCACATAGTGATTAGAAGATGCCTCTAGCAGAATACCTATAGGTATGTACATGTACCAACTGAACAAACTAGAAAAATCTGGTCTAGGGTATATCAAGCCAGTAAAAATATATATCAATATTCACTCATCAGGGCCTCTCTGCTTTTGATGACCTTACAACTGGTAAATTTTATAAAAAAAAACAAAAAATAGTAAGTAATACTAAATGTAGAGTAGACAGAAAAGAACAAATAATTTAGTAAACATGAGTTACTTCCCCTTAAAAGAGAGAAAACCTGAAACCCAAAAGAACACCCTAAACATTAAAATTACGAAATGTTGCAGGCTCAGTCAGTTTTATTAAGCCATGCAAATTAATGGTAAAGTATTCATAAAAAAATAGATGACCATCAGTTATTGCAGAAAATCGGATAGCTTTCAACATCCGGATACTGGTACACTTTGTAAAAACAACCATTCTGTGCAACAGATCAACGTATATGGATAAAATCAATAGGATAATCGTTAACAACAGTCCATTACCTATCCTTATACTCATTTGCAGGTGATCTTTCTTCTTGTAAGAACATTTTGAAAATATATAAATGAATTAACGAATGGATACGGCATCAATGTAGACCACAACGATATTCGAAATCCGGGTTTTAGTATTGTCAATAAAACTAAGGGACAAGCTGTTAAACTGAGCCTGCAATTTCGTAAAAATAATATCACAATGCACATGCTTTTTATATAAAGTTATTAAATACAAATATAACAACATATTTGTTTACTTGATTTTTACGAATCAAAATAAATCTAATTAACTCAACATGAAATTAACTGCTAATAATAACAGCTCCTTCCATAGGCAAAAATAAAAAGCATTCCATATAAGACGACGCCGCTCACCGGCGTCGCCAATAAAGGTACAAAGAATTTCATACAATACTGGCAAATGGTAGCACTTGTATGATTATTTCTTTGTTGAGACATGATTTTAGTGTCATTAGGCTTACAATACCTGCTATATGTACCAGTCCTGCATATTTAGAACCTAAGCATCGCATTGACTGCATGGTACCAAGGTACATTCTTATCAGATTAACTGCCTGATACCAAGGCATGTTCTCATATATAACAAATTACTCACACAAATGACAGGGTTTAAGGGGAAAAGTTGTCAAATTCAAATTTGACTTTATCATAAGAGTATTACACCAATAATTGAAAATGCTATTCAGCTATTTATTTTAATGAATGTACATAATTATGTTAATGTTTGTATATATTTATATTTCAGACCTGACCTCATTCAGTATGATAAACTACAGAAGTCTAATGCTATGTACAACTTGCAGAATGCTTTCCAAGTGGCTGAAGAAAAACTTGGCATTACTCCACTTCTGGACCCTGAAGGTAAGATCACATGAAAGAAACAGATATGTACATAAACAATCTCATGAAGTATGAGGCATTGTATAGCAACTGTTACTGATTTGAATTAAATTCCTATATGGAAAGTACCTTTTCATAAAATTCTTTAAACAGAAGTGAAATTTAATACAACTCAAAAGTTGGATACACTGATAAAGAAGATACATTTTCAAGGCCCAATTTTTTTTTTATTGAACCCTGGAACATTTTCTTTAGATCAGTCTTAAATTATTCCTTTGAATGCAGCATTCTTAAATACCATCAATTTATAGGTATGCCAGCCTGTACATTGAATCAGGCTCTTCTTTTTCCTCCTTGATTGTGATACTGTTATCCCTTAAAATTCCTAAATGGAATGTTCTAGGTCAATACAGGACAAGGTCATTATACAAATTTAGCTGAGTAAGGGGTTATTACTTGGCTTTGATGGTTTTTGATGCATTATTTTCTGCTCTTTGGTTTACCACAAATTAACTGCATCATATGTGGTTAAAGGGAGACAATCTCAATTAGAGTTCAAAAGATGAAGTTATTATCAGCTTTGTTTTATGTTTTAATTGAATGTCCATTGAAACTTTGATCTTAAATTTAGTGTGGTTATTTGTCATCAATGCTGAATTTTTTTGGCCATTTAATTAAGTGCATGTTTTATGATATTGAATTTTCAATTTTAAGTATACAAAGAAAGTTAAGTCAGATTATATTTGTGATTTTCTAGTTTCTTATGTGTTCTTTAAGGTATGCAATTTTGGAGAAACAAAATGGATTATATTTAGATTTTGCAAATTTTATATTTTACGAAGAATATCAAGAATAAAAATGTAAGAAATTTTTTTTGCTATTTTTAGCATTATTTAAAGTTTTTGATTCAATATTTTGTGTTTTGCAATTGTATTAACAATGATGCATTTATGTTATCTGTCTATTTAAACTGATATGTTACTGAAATTTAAAAGGTTATAAATTGAAATGTTTTTGTCAAAAAACATTCTACTTCCCATTGTTTTGCAACAACATTAATTGATACATTCACTGCAGTGACATGCAAAAAAACTTTCATTTTATTGTTTACGGTTTGTTGGTAATTTTCCTTCATATTTGTTTAACCTATAAACTTACCTTGATTAATTCAAGTTAAGGACTTATTGCTAAGGACTGTTGCTTTTCATTTGTAACTGGCCTTTTGTGGCGGAGGGTTTGCCTTTAATGGTTGAGGCATTGAAATTGCAGCCACCATTTAACTTTGCATGATCATAAGAGGCGACTAAATGGATTTGAATTACTGGAGGCTATTATGCATCTCTTAGCTCCAGTGGGTGTGGTGGTCTTCACCCTTGGTGTTGCTTTAAGTTTGTAACATCCAAGGTTGGTCAAAATCATCTTTTCTTTTTTGGTGCCATATGACTTAAACTGTCTTGGTGTGCGGTCAAATCAAACAAACTGTTTCATTTGTAGGTGTCTATAGAAGTTGATTGGATTTCAGTAAAATCACTAAAAAAGAAACAACTTTAAGTTTTGTCATATGGTACATATGTACAGATTGGTCTGGCACTATGCATATTGCATAGACTTTTTTATTACTTGTGTTTCACTTAAAAAAAATGTCATTCTAAGCATATAATATTGCATTTTAAGGTTTAATTGCTAGAAAAGTAAAATATTTTATTCAAGATACAAGGGTTCCTTAAGTGACTTCTTAATGTTTTTGCGTTTACCTGTTTCATGAAGTACTTTATATTATGTTAACAAGTCTTGACAGCTTTATATAAGCTGCTAGATTTCTAGTCTTTAATTAACATTCAATCACCAAATCTGATTCTAATTTTTCCTTAATATTTAATTAATTATACTATGTAAGATACTTTCAAAATGACATTTATTGGGTGTTAGAAAAGCTATTTTTTGTTGGTGACCTGATGATTTTAAGAGTTATATATTTACCATTTAAAATAAATAGTCTTTAACTTTTGACACTTAGATTGGCAAATCTAATGAACAAATTAATTGTCAAAAGTGAAGTGTTTTCATTATATCAAGAGGTGAAAAAGACAATTTAAAGAAGCTAAGCTAATAGCATAGAAATTCTTTTCTTAAAGTAACTAATGATAAGGTCTAGGTAGTTATTGATGTAGAAAAAGCATAGCCCTGTCTTACTGTCTGTCTGCGATATTCTACAGGGACGTGATCTCACAAAGTTTGCCCATTTTAGTTGTCTTTTATAGAAGTTTTATGGATATGTGTGCCTCATTCATTACAAGATGTTTACATTTTCAAACTGTTACCTCTTAACATCATAGGATAAGATTCCCTTTAGTGAGCTCATTTTGTTATGATAGTAAAAATTTTGGCATTCTTCTGTATGGAAACTGGGCTTCTTGTTTTCGTTTGTGGGAATAATCAAAAAGGAGGGCAGGAATATACACAGGTTCATTGTTAATAGGAATAACTTTTTGGATTACAACAAAATTTGTATACAGTGATACTGTCATTTAGTCACATATTGAAAGTTATGTATTTATGTTTTCAGATGTCAATGTGGAATTCCCTGATGAGAAATCTGTTATCACCTATGTTGTCACATTCTACCACTACTTCTCCAAGATGAAGGCTGAGACTGTACAGGGCAAACGTATTGGAAAGGTATAACTTCTTGTTCTGTTAGTTAATTATAGTGAAATTTGTCTGGTCTTGGACACCTTTTAGACACCTTCCTTACAAACACACAACTGTGGTAGGCTTTAGGTGTTGAAAAAATAGTCGAAAGTTTCTCTTTTCTCAAAATTTCGTAATAGAAGTTTGCATTTTAGAGTTCTAAGGACTCTTGTTTAATGGGAGAAAGTCCTGTTCATATTAAGAATACAAATTTGAATCCCTGAAGAGGGAAGCATGATAATGATCATATTGTTTGCATCACTGGAATCTGTGTGGTGCTGTTTTGAAGTTTTGATAGTATTTTCATTGACCGTCATTTTAGATGGTATTATCTGCAGTATTAGTTGTTAGGTATTGTATGATATTATTATAAATTTTCAGGTTATTGACAATGCCCTCGATACTGAGAGGAACGTTGAGGATTATGAGACTTTGACCTCTGACCTCCTTGAATGGATCGAGCAGACGATCATGATCCTGAAAGATCGTCAGTTTTCCAACTCCCTCAGTGGCGTACAACAGCAACTCACAGCATTCAACCTGTACAGAACCTCAGAAAAACCACCCAAGTATGTACTTGAAACAACTGAAATATAAAGTTTGTTTATTTATTTGAGAACTATGTATCCTAAAAGTTGAAAAATAAGCTTGTTTTAGGTCAGAACCATTATATTATAATAGATAATGGTTTTAAAATTTTACATTTTAATCAGTTCTTTCAAAATATGTTAAAAAGATTCTACTATCCGATGAAATATTAGTGCTCTTTTCATTAGATTGTAGTACTTAGTATTAATTTGCGTTCCATTTTGAAATTACAAAAGTACCTAAAGATTGTAATGTATATGAATATGTTTCATATAAACTCTTGTATAAAACAATGCTATTTTCCATTGTCAGGTTTGTAGAGAAGGGTAACTTGGAGATAATGTTGTTCACATTACAAAGTAAGATGCGCGCTAACAACCAGCGACCATACTTTCCTGTAGAGGGAAAACTTATCTCTGACATTAACAAGGCCTGGGACAAACTGGAGAAAGCTGAACATGAAAGGGAACTCGCACTCAGAGAGGAACTCATCAGGTATGTCTTGTTAATATGTGTGAGACAATTCTCAAACTATATATGCACAACATGTGTTTGATAATCTATATAATATACAGGGAACTAAATTGAATGTACAGATCTTATAATAACTTTGTTTTAATTTTATATGGAGATATTAGATCATTTTAAAAGAAGAAAAATAAATGTTAACACTAATTCAATAAATAAACTCCTAAGGAATCCAGCAGTTCATTTAGAAGATTTTCTTATTGGAAAACATTTTAAATATTATATAAAGATAAAGTTTTTAAATATACCTTCAGTTGAAGATGTCAATCTTAATTCAATACAAATAGTAATGAGAGGAGAAAAATATTGTCGTATCTTTGGTTTACAAACACATTGTATATATATTCTTGATATTTCAGACAAGAGAAACTTGAACAACTAGCACAAAGATTTGACCGCAAAGCCGGCATGCGTGAAACCTGGCTAAGTGAGAATCAAAGACTTGTTTCACAAGACAACTTCGGCTATGACCTGGCTGCTGTAGAGGCGGCGACCAAGAAACATGAAGCCATAGAAACTGACATTAACGCGTATGAAGAGCGCGTACAGGCAGTGGTCGCTGTCGCTGAAGAACTAGAAGCAGAAAACTACCATGATATAGACAGAATTAATGCAAGGTAAGAATTTATTTATAGCTATATAGGACGTTTATACAAATGCAAAAATTGTATAGATTTCATCACTAGTAAAAAAAAAAGTTATTTGTTTAAAATTTGGGTTTTTGAGATCAGTTACAAAAATTAAAGAGAAAAGTGATGATAATAGAAATACTGTACTTACATAAATGTTACTAAGATAATTGATTTTAATTTCATCAAATCATTAGAGAAAAGAATCACACACCAAAAAGCCAAAATAGAAAGGAAAAAAAAATGAAAAAAAAGCCAAAAGAACAACAAACAAAAATCCCATTTTGTCCTTATTCCAATAGTGTTTAAATTTTTTTTATTAAGTTTGTATTTAATAATAGGCAATGATGATATGGAATATTTATGTTACAGAAAAGACAATGTAATCCGATTATGGAACTATCTATTGGAGTTATTACGGGCTAGAAGAATGAGACTTGAGCTCTCCTTACAACTACAGAAAATCTTCCAAGAAATGTTATATATACTCGACTGGATGGAAGAAATCAAGGTTGGCCTTGTACTAATATGAAAATTACGCAATACCAATTAATAAGTATTATGAGTATAGTGACCAGCATAATTGTTTCATTAACGAAGCTAAAAAGTTCTTGGAAGTTTTAATTGCTTACATAAGTACAGATTAACATTGTTGAGAACTTGCATATAATAAAAAATAGGACGAAAGATGCCAGTTTTCATTTCAACAGTTATATAAATTAATTTGTTTGATGGAACTAGAAGTAATTTTCCATTTCTCAAACTGGTCTTCATAAGCAGGTTTTACTGTATAATTTACCGTTACCTTCAAATGATACTTGTTTTAAAAGAAATGTTCATTTTACGATAAACGATATGTATAGTTTTGAAATCATACAGCATAACTTCATTTATCATATAGAAAGTAAAAAAGTTGCTGTGTACAAATTTTTATCCTAAATCTTGTCAATTTTAGTCCCGGTTGATGTCAGAAGATTACGGAAAACATCTTATGGGCGTGGATGACTTGCTCCAGAAACACAGTTTATTGGAGTCAGATATCCATGTTCTTGGTGAACGTGTCAAGACAGTTAATCTTCAGGCAAACAAATTTGTAGATGGAGACTTCTCAGAAGTTGGAGGTAAGATTTGTAGGAGAGATATCTTGATTTGTAATTTTCTTGTATTAAAACATTGGTAATCTTTATAATTTTTATTGTGCTGTATAAATATCTATGGAGAAATACATTTTTCCCTTTAAATAAGAATTTTTGTACTTTTGTATCGAGATGAAATAGGACATATTCCTCAATTTCATAGTAGAAATATAAAGTTGAATATGTGTCATGATATCGAGTGTGAAGTTCATTCTTAATCAGAACTAGTAGAGAACTATAGAAGTATTCTTTTATTTATAATATTGTATTCAATTTTGATTTGAGTGATAAATATTTATGACAATTTAAGTAGTGATAAGAAAAAGAGTATTGGTTTAAATGATATAATATATAATTTACAGGCTACCGACCAAGTGACCCAGAGATTGTTAAAGATCGCATTAATACACTAGAGAATGCATATGAAGAGCTACGCAGACTTGCCGATGATCGTAAAGGACGTCTCAACGAGTCCCGCAAACTGTGGCAGTTCTATTGGGATATGGCTGACGAGGAGGGCTGGATACGAGAGAAAGAACAGCTCATGTCCGCCCCCGACCTGGGTCATGACCTTACTAGTGTACATCTCCTTCTTCACAAACAGAAGGTATGTGAGTCAAATGATGACATATGTGTCACTGGTAGAAAAACTTGAATTGTCTTGACGATTGTTGCAAAAATCTTGAAAAAAGTACAGTTTGAATAAGTTTTAACATCAGTTTTATTTGTCTCTGGATTTAACTGCAACACACTTTAGATTCCATTTACTATGCCAGGTGAAGTTGGATAAATAACTTAGAAGTAAAGAAGTTGTTTGAGCAAATGTTAACAAGTGCTTTCTATAAATAAATTTCTCAAGTTTTTTAATGTAAGTTTGCTATATATTGTTCATAGATTGCAGAGCATTAAATGATGATCATGTAATAGTTACGAGTTTTAAGCCCAAAACGTTAAGGTATTTAAACCTAGTTCAAATGTTTTTACAATTATTTGTTTAATGATGATTCTTGATACTATTTAAAGACAATGGAGGATGAGATGACAGCTAGACACACCCATCTGCAATCCGTTCTACAAGTGGGTAATGATCTCATTTCGGCTGGCAATTTCGGCGCGGAGAAAATCCAAGAGCGCATTGACGAGATCAACGAGCAGTGGGAAAGCCTCATTGACTTGGCGGCCTTCAGGAAGAAGCGGCTTAATGAAGCTGTTGACTTCTACCAGGTAGGTAGTTTATATGCTCCAATGTTTCAACTTATCTACCGTTCTGGTAAATAAAACACTTGGTTCCTCTTCGAAATCAGCTGTATTATTTCATTGTCTTTGAGACCAGATTCAGAAATCAGTTATAGAAGATAAGTAGTCTGTCATTTACAGAGAAAGTGGTAATTACTTATAAGTTATCCAGGAAAGCCTGTAAGGTGGACTGCTTGCAGATGTATGATGTTCTCTGTTCAGCTGTTGTCAATTTAACAACCGTCAATGTTCTTATAATTTCAGTTCTTCGCTGATGCTGATGACATTGATACATGGATGCACGACACATTACGTCTTGTATCTAGTGACGATGTTGGACGTGACGAGGCGAGCGTACAGTCACTCCTCAAAAAACACAAGGATGTGACAGACGAGCTGAAGAACTACCAGAGTGTCATAGAAGCCCTTCATGAACAGGCTGCAAACTTAGGAGAGCAGGTGAGATTCTTGTTTTTCATTGATAACAATTTGCTTAAAAACAGATTTTTCAGTACAAAGACTGATAAAAATTGAATGTAAAAGCATTTGGCAGATATAATGAATTGTCTCCTTGTTTCTTCTCCCACTGCTGGTAAATAAGGGAGATACCCTTTGATCTTTATTGACATGTGACTTTGAACAGGAGAAAATGAAATGACTCGATCAATGTTGCGTTATATGTTGCCTGTGAATACTATGTGATGAAAATCAAAAGGGATCTTGTTCTTTCCATATTGTTTATTGCAAACTTATGTCAGTTTCTATTTTTAACTTTCCAGATCTTTTGTATATAGATTTGTTTAATGGTTCCAGAAAACAATCTTCAAAACATTACAGTTTTCTGCTGAATTGTTGCTGTTAAATTTTGTTTTGATTGTAAAATAATAAAAGGTTTTCATTTTTGTCTACAGGATCGTGAATCTGAGTCTGTACAGACAACATTAGATAGTATTGACCGACGCTATCAGGAACTTTTGGAACTGGCCAAACTCAGAAAACAGAGACTACTGGATGCTCTGTCCTTATATAAACTCTTCAATGAAGCTGACAGTGTTGTTACATGGATAGATGAGAAGGTAATGTTTTGTTTTTATGCCCCCGCCATGTAATGGCAGGGGCATATAGTGTTACCCTGTTCCGTCATTCCATCCTTCCATCCTTCCGTCCTTCCATCCTTCTGTCATTCTGTCATTCCGTCATCATCAGTTTCCTTCATTATCTTAAGAACGGTTGCACACATTCAACTCAAATTTTACATATGGATATGTCATGAGAAAATACAGGTCAAGTTCGAATTTGGTCATGGTTCGATGATTTTTGGCAGAGTTATGCCCCTTTTACTTTGTAAATATTATGAAATTTCAGTTTCCGTTCATTATCTCCCCAATGGTACAACACATTCAACTCAAACTTCACATATGGATATGTCATGAGAAAATACAGGTCAAGTTGGAATTTGGTCATGGTTCCATGATTTTTGGCAGAGTTATGCCCCTTTTACTTTGAAAATAATATGAAATTTTCAGTTTCCGTTGATTATCTCCCCAACGGTACAACACATTCAACTCAAACTTGACATATGGATATGTCATGAGAAAATACAGGTCACGTTCGAATTTGGTCATGGTTCGATGACTTTTGGCAGAGTTATGCCCCTTTTACTTTGAAAATAATATGAAATTTTCAGTTTCCGGTTATTATCTCCCCAAAGGTACAACACATTCAACTTAAACTTGACATATGGATGCGTCAAAGGAATGTGCAGGTCAAGTTCAAATTTGGTCAAGGTTCAATGATTTTTGGCAGAGTTATGCCCCTTTCACTTTGAAAGTAATATGAAATTTTCAGTTTCCGTTTATAATCTCCCAAATGGTACAACACATTCAACTCAAATTTGACATATGGATATGTTTTTGGAATGCCCAGGCCAAGTTCGAATTTGGTCATGGTTCAATGATTTTTGGCAGAGTAATGCCCCTTTCACTTTGAAAATAATATAAAATTTACAGTTTCTGTTCATTATCTACCCAACAGTGTTACATATTCAACTCAAATTTGACATATGGATATGTCAAAGGAATGGGCAGGTCAAGTTGGAATTTGGTCATGGTTTGATGATTTTTTGGCAGAGTTATGTCCCTTTAACTTTGAAAATAATATAGATACATCTTAGAAATAGGCAGTTTGAATTTGGTCGTGGTTCAATGATTTTAGACAAACTTATCTTTCCTGCACACCTACTGTTAGCCATTATTTTGGCTACAAATATGCAATATGCTATTTTTAAAAGGTTAAGACTGAATAATTTCAGTGCCTTGAACATTGTATGAAAATGGTTTGTGTTAACATTAAAAAGTTTTAAGGGCTTTGAACTTAAAATGAAAAAAATAATTTATGCACCATCTGAAATTTTGGCTGCATGCGGGGGCATCTGTGGCATGATGACACATTTCTAGTTATTGAATGTGAAACTTTTATCCTTGCTAAATTGAATCTAAAATGGACTTGTCAGTCTCCTTTTTATGGACCAATCCCATTATCAATATTAAGATGAAAGTGCTGAAAGACCAAAATTATGTTTTAACTAAACAAACAGAAAATGTTTGGAAAATTTTAGATGTCAGTGGGTAACATCTTTGTGAAACAATTGCTAATTATACATGTGGCTGAGGGGTTGCCTTTAAGTGTTGAGGCGTCAAAATTGCAGCCACCATTTATCCCTGCATGATCGTAAGAGGCGACTAAATGGGTTCAAATTAATGTAGTCTATGCATCTCTTAGCTCCAGCAGTTGAGGTGGTTTTTGACCCCTGGTGTTGCTTTAAGTTTGTAACACCCGAGTTTAGCCAAAATCATCTGTCCTGTTTCGGTGCCATGTGACCTAATTTGTGTTAGTGTGCGGTAAAACCAAACAAACAAACTAATTATACAGTTTTCATTATTTTACAAGCTCAAATAACATATGTACTTTACATTTAATATTTTATAACCTACATTTAATATTTTATAACCAACAGGAGAAGCTTCTCACTACTATGATTATCACAGATGACATTGAAGAGTTGGCCATCATGAAACATCGTTTCGAAGGTTTCGAGCATGAGATGAATGCAAACGCGTCCAAGGTGGGCGTAGTTAACCAACTAGCTAGACAGTTACTGCAAGTGGAACATCCAAATGCCACTGAGGTGATCCAGAGACAGAATGATCTTAACCAGAGGTAAATTAATGTTTTACATCACCAGTCCTCCAATTAATATTTTTATGAGGTTTTAAAGAAATAACTTAACAGGTTTATAAAATCAGAAAAATCTTTTTCTATCATTGTTTTGTTTTTGGTATTTAAAGAAATGGCTTACGCAGTTCAAATTTTATATAATCACATTCAAAGCAAAAGGTCCGAATAGAATATAGAGAGAATCTTAAAAATAATGTAAACATAATGACTAAAATCTTGTATTTATCCTGATACCTGACTGAATCTTAAATTATATCCTTACAAAGTAATACTGCATAGACAATATGTCATTTGTTAATTTTGCTTCATAGAATTTCTTTTTTCAAAGAATAATAAGTCGGTTATTACTGTTTTTCAACATTTATTTGTACCTATAAAATATTATGATATTGTGTTATAGCTGGAACAACTTGAGAGAGCTTGTTGAGGCTAAGAGGGATGAGATTGATGGTGCTCATGGTCTACAGAACTTCCATATTGAATGTAATGAGACCATCAGCTGGATCCACGAGAAGGCAAAGATCATAGAGTCTACAGAAGAACTCGGCAATGACCTCACTGGTGTGATGACATTGCAGCGTCGCCTTAGTGGTATGGAGCGTGACCTTGCAGCCATTCAGGCCAAACTGGAATCCCTACAAGGCGAGGCTGAACGTCTCGAGGAGGAGAAACCAGATGAAGCCGAGGCAATCAGAGAGAAGATTGCCGAGATCAGCAGTGTTTGGGTTAACCTTAAAGACATGGTCAGTATAAATAAAGCTTTTGAAAAAACTTATTCTCTTTAGTATATTAAATTCTAAGTATATTAATCTTAGTTTTCTGATTTCTTGCCTTTTGTCTTTTATGAAATGAAAACTTAAGAGGAAAAATAAAAATTGAATATTTTTAAAGGTGTAGTCATGAATTTTTTGTTCCGCAGAATAAATGGTTAAAAATCGTTATTGAACATCATGTATTTGTTCTTTCAGTTGAAGGACCGTGATGAGAAACTTGGAGAGGCAGGAGAACTTCAGCGCTTCCTTGGAAATCTTGATCACTTCCAGCAATGGTTGTCTCGCACACAGACCACCGTTGCCTCAGAGGATGCCCCCAACAGTCTCGCTGATGCAGAAAGACTTCTTAACCAGCATCAACAACTTAAAGATGAAATTGACGCATACGTTCCAGAATACGCTAAGATGAAGGACTTTGGAGATCGTGTTACTGAAGGACAAACTGATCCACAGTACATGTTCCTTGCTCAGGTAGGCTTTACTAATTAAATTAGAATTTTCAGAATGTTCAGGTTTGTGGAACACAGTTTATATACTAGGCAAAGTCTTGTATTATATGATTGAACAAGTGATAAAACAATGTTATTGTGGGTTTATACGGAAACCCATTTGGTTTTTATGGAAACCCAAGTATTTTAAGTATATGAAAGAATGACTAGTTGATGTTCAGATCTGTAGGTATGATGTACAGGATCATTGCATTATAATTGTTCATTATTTTGAATGCCATGTTAAACTATGTTTTATATATTTTAGCGTTTGAATGCATTGGATGATGGCTGGAAAGAGTTGTTACAGATGTGGGACAGTCGGCAGCAAGGCTTGTCACAGGATCTCAACTTACAGGTAGTTTTTATCTCATTGGTCTTCTCTAAAAAAACATTTAAGAGTATATATATATGCTTGCAGTAGCATATCAGTTGTATATAAGGATAGTGTCTTCACTTTTTCACAAGAACTAGCATATAAATGCCAGCTTCTCCATTCACTTCTGATTGGTTGTGGATTTCCAATGGTGTGAAAGATGTTATTTTATTTTCGTAAGTGAAAACAATAACACAAACAATAATGGGAAATGTATGTTAAAATTGTAAGTAATGTTGATGAAAACAAGAAAAAATAAGATTTTTCGCTTTCAAATATCAGCTAGTTATAAAAAAAAACTGTTTATGTGTTTTGCAGATGTTCCTGAGGGATGCCAAGCAGGCTGAAGTACTACTGAATCAACAAGAAACCTTCCTGTCTAAGGAAGATGTACCTGTAAGTTATATATATATTACATTGTATACACACAAATACCTGTTATACTAACACTCTTTCCTGGTAATATCAGCATTTAGCAATGATGATTGAATGTTTTTGGAAAATTTACTAACTTATTGAAATTTTGCAGGGCTAGATTATTTTTTTGTATATTGAATGTTTAATTTATTGAAACAAAGGTTTGTATTTAAGTTATTAAACAGCTGTTTCATTAAGATATTTCCAGCATCAATGAAACAAAATATCTGCTCACAGTGTTGCCTTCATTGGAAGGGGTTTTATATATCACTAAACTAATGAAGGTATTTACTTAAAACCTTGTATACACATGACTTACAAAACATAAATGCAGGTCACTAAAGATAAGACCAATATTTTCTAGTTTTCGGTTTGACTGAATAACATCCATTTTGTGGAATTTGATAATGCCAGGTTCAAGTTTTGTGTGCATGATCAATTGCCACTGTTGCTGAAGGCTTTTATTTGAAACTCCACAAATGTGGTGAGGTCGTAATTGTAGTTCATTTTCCAAAACCCATACCGGGATTATGGATTGTTGTTTAATGATACCACTCATGACTTAAACATTAAGCACTGAATCCCTGCATTGCCATTCTTTTACTATCAGGCACTGATAGTAATTGAGCCAGTTCTCTGTTTAGACTTGTATTGATCCTAAAATTATGAGAAATTTTGAAATAGAATTATGATAATTTATTTCATTGATGACTGGAATATATTAATGCTGATAATCACTCATTAAAGCACTTATATCATTATGTGACCCTTCCTTTTGTTACTTTCAGCATCTTTTACTGCATCATTCTAGTCTTGTATTCTTCTAACAGTCTTCATTTGATATCAGATATGAAATCTTTTATCTTAACACTTGCAATTCTGTTTTTGTACAGTATCACTTGAACGTACATGGCATGATAGATTGGCAAACAAATGCATGAACAAAAAAACGTTAATATAAATGATTTACTCAATAGGCTAATAAACTCAAACCCATATATTTTGTCTTTTACTGTCCACTTAATAATCCATATTGATATTTTTACAATGAAACTGCACAATTTTTTTTTGCCCATGAATTGAAGCCACACATAAGATGACTGTATGGTTTATATCCGAGAAATTCTCGATTCTTATCAAGTTGATTAGTTAACTTCAATTCAATTAAAGTATAAAAGAACATAAACATTTCCACAAGAAAAGAAAAGCATTGCATAAGATTGGATAATCCAAGTCTAACAGTCTGTCTAGAAGTGTATATAGTGTACACATTTCCTCTTCAAGTTAACCCTGTTATGTTGCCATTTAACTGTAATATTTTTCAACTTAAAACGCCCAATTCTAACAAATAAAAAAAATGCAAAAAAAAAAAAAAAAAAATTCATTATAAATGAGATGAAAAAATAAAGGTAACACAGTATGTTTAAGTGTGTACAATTGGTGCTTGTGTTGCTAACTTGTGTGGTACGTTTTCTATCACCTCTCATTTCTCATCATAGAATGCACTCGGACTTATAGATACCAAGGTAACATTATGTTGTCATGACGAAAATTAATACCGCCATGTCATTCCTGCATGATCTTGCTTCCATGAGATATCATTGTCTCTCTGTTGTTGTTGTTGTTGTGTGTGTATTTTGTTTTTGTTGTATAGAGCAGTGAGGCTTTGTCATATCATATTAAACACTCATATTTATTATTTTTATAAGTATGTGTATTTTGGTGTAGATTTATATGAAAAAGGACAAATTTAGGAAAAATTTACCACTGTTTAGAAAGTAGTTTTTAGAATCAGAGATAGCAAGATTTCTGTTTAAGATTTTGTAAGACTTTAGTACTTTTGGTTAACAAATGCATGCAAAGGACATAAAAAATGATGTTCTAGAGATCAAGTCTGTGGAATATGAATCATAAATAATGTCTGATTTGATTAATTTACATAAACTTCTTATTATAAAGAAAGAAATGGATTTTGTAACATTACAAAGAAAGAAATGGATTTTGTTACATGTAATATTGGAAAAACTTGATGTAAATTTAAGTATATTTACAAGAATGTGTTAAGGAAGCAATGTTTGCTTCCAAGAAATCTTGGCAAATGTTAACATAGAGATATTGTTGGGTGTGTAAATGTAATATTATTGTGATAAGATAGCATGTAATATTTATATGTATCAAGTATGACATTAGTTTACTAAAATAAAACACGTAAATGGCAACATTAACTATGCATGTAAGAGTATATTCATATTATGTCAACATAGGAGCCAGTATTTGAAATTTGTAGATCTATTTCATGCTTAATTTACACTATTGCCAGAATACAATTGCCGGTATTGTGCAACAGTTTTCTAGCACTATTTGTGGACAATAAATTATTACTTTTGTCAAAAGGCAATTCATTTAATTTCAATTTATTATCTACATACATTTTAAAGACTGGATGTTAATAGCCTTTGTGGCTGAATGGATAAGGTTGTTAGCTTCAAACTGCTTGCCCTTTACAGCTGTGGGTTCAAATACTGGCAGAGACTTTGAATCCTTTATTTGTGAGGATGCTTTACAGCTAGATTGCATAATGTTTCTGGTTCTACTTGTGTGCCTGCTTTTGTCTGAATTAATGCACGAAGGGGCACCTGGGCTCTTCCTTCATGCCATATGCTATCACAATGTAGATATTAGTTAAAGAAAAGTTAAGCTTGCTAAAACAGATGATTTGAGGACAAAAGGAAAAGTTACTTTATGTTATATTATTATCTGTAAAGCATTTTGCCAGGTTATATGACAAGCAATAATAGTTGTAATTTCATGTAATCATACAAGGGTTATATAGCAAATATCCATTTATACATAGCCATATTACATGTATCTGTCAAAATGCTTTATAGTGAATTAATAATACTGCACAAGTACTTACTTTGTTTAAAATGAAAAATAATTTATAAATTTGTGCTGCAACATATATAGATAATATTAACATTACAATTGTCCAATGAAAATCGACGTTACAAATGTGCAGTATTATGAAATATTATATTCACCTGTAGGAGAAATAATAAAATAGTAATGATATATATATTTTGACTGTTTTCAGAACACATTAGAAGCAGCAGAAAACTTGATAAAACATCATGAAGCGTTTATTACCACCATGGACGCGAACGATGAGAAGATTAACGCTGTACTTACATTCGCTAACAGACTTATGGAAGACAACCACTATGCTAATGATAAAATACACAAAAAAGCAGAAAATATTAATGAAAGGTAATGGATATTGTTTTACGTACTTAAATATTTATATTTACATGGTCCGGGAATAAAATGCTTCGCTGGTTTATAAATGCTGTATGAATTGTTGCAGAATTGATTGTTAAGATAATAATCATGTAGTTATAAACAGCTCTTCAAAGGAATGAATATATGTTATGATAAGAAAATAATGTTGTGGAATTTCTATAACAAACATGGAATATTAGGATATAAAATTTTTGGCATTAGTTTAATATTGGCAATATTGTGTTGACTCCTATGTTTCACAATAAGTATACATATGGTCACCCAAGTTCAATTACCCTGCAGAACTAAATGCTCGCAGAAGCAATATTTTGATGAGAAAGTACTGAATTTGGTTAATGGTTATCCTGAGTTATGCCACATAATTGTGTATAAAATAATGACAATGGAAACATTAGATGTTGCACAACACAGCAAATTTTAAAATGCTGTAGGCTCGGTCCATGCGAGTCTGTTCATAAAAACCATTGTTATAAACCATGAAAGATGTTTTATATTGAAAAAATCCATGGCAAATCCATGAGAAAGAATAATTTAACATTGAAAAAATCCATGGCAAATCTATGAGAAAGAATATTTTAACATTGAAAAAATAAGTGGTAATTCCATGAGAAAGATAAATTTAACATTGAAAAAATCCATGGTAAATCTATGACAAAGAATAATTTGACATTGAAAAAATCCATGAGAAAGAATAAAGAGAGTTATATGCATGAAATATTATGTTCTTTTTCTGAATAAAAAACGAGTGGCCTTTGTTATTACATAAGTAAAGTACATAAGTGAGGGTTTATATTGATTTTGAACATTTGTGAATGAACTAAGAGTAAGAATTAACTATAATATGAACATTTGTGAATGAACTAGTAATGAACTATAATTTGAACATTTGTGAATGAACTAAGAGAAAGAATGAACTATAATTTGAACATTTGTGAATGAACTAAGAGTAAGAATGAACTATAATTTGAACATTTGTGAATGAACTAAGAGTAAGAATGAACTATAATTTGAACATTTGTGTGTGAACTAAGGGTAAGAATGAACTATAATTTGAACATTAGTAATGAACTATAATTTGAACATAAGTGAATGAACTAAGGGTAAGAATTTACCTACAATTTGAACATTTGTGAATAAACTCTGGGTAAGAATTTAGCTATAATTTGAACATTTGTGAATGAACTAAGTTTAAGAATGAATTGTAATGTATTTGATATTGTATATCAGGAGGAATACAAATAGACAACGTGCAGATGAACAGCTGGAGAGACTTAAGGACCAACTTCTACTCCAACAATTCCTTCAGGAATGTGATGAGGTAAAAATATTATGTCAGCTTGGATTTATTTAACCCTATATGCTGGAACTGAAAATTATGAACCTTTTCCACTGGTATAGAGCCAGGCCCGACTGTATGCCAGTGATGACTTGTCTAGTCTCTATACTATTTGCAAATCAACTTAGAATTTCATCTTGATATCCCCAAATTTGATAATGGTCAGTCCTTAAAATAGAAGCTGGACAAGTCCATTTATGAAATTCAACAGGTTAAGGGTTAAATTGATAAAAAGATTTCTGCTTAAGATTTTAGTCAGTTTTGTATTAAAACTATGCAGCATTTGAATATCTCATCCCAACTCAAATTGGATCAATGATTATTGAAATTCAGTGCAGATTTTGAATGTATAGATTTTGTGTAATTTCTCGTCTGTAATGAGATGAATTATTTATACCACTTCTATTCTGTCCAATATAATTCAAAATTTAACACTACGTTTGACTGATAAATACAGATTTTAATTTATTTGATACAGATATCTAAAACAAATTTTTAAAACCAAGCAGCAACAGTTCTACGCAGTCTAACCAGGCTCTACATTGTTTATGGTGCAATTTTTGTATTTTAATATTAAATGAGCTATTGAGCTAGCTTTGGATGGTTTGATGGTTATTCTCGGGGTACCTGTGCCTGAAAAATGGATTAAGTGGTATGAGAGGTCCCCCCCCCCCCATTAAAGCTGGAAGACACCATATGACCTCTACTGTGCCAGTGTGTCTTAAAGTCAAACAAAATAAATAAGTTTTAAATAGTTTTTCTTACTAATGAATGTTACATAATTATTCAGTTACGAGACTGGTTACATGACAAGATGGCCGATGCCGAGGACGAGACTTACAGAGATGCTAAGAATCTTCACAGTAAATACCTGCGTCATCAAGCATTTGAGAGAGAGATCAATGCTAATAAAGACAGGCTCATGAGATTACAGGAGGTAAAAACTTTAACATCATGGTTTTCATATCAGTTGATAGGTGTAATGTTAAATATTGCCTATGTTACCCAGTTTTGAATCTATATATCCAAATCTCTCTGTCCTAGTATATGTTGTGAATATTTGCAAAGTTTACCAATTTTTAATAACCAATTTCTCATGACAAAGAAAATGAGGGTTTTGTTGATAAGTTTTTAATCTAAGTTAACCAAATTTTTCTTTTCCTTTGATTACAGGCTGGTGAGCAATTGATGGCTGAGAAGCCCGAAACTCGTGAACAGATTGAGCCAATCCTGTCGAGTCTCTCCACCCAGTGGGACGAGCTTGAATGTACGACCACTGCCAAAGCCGACAAACTGTTTGAGAACAAGAGAGCTGTGCTGTATGAACAGAGTTGTGATGATATTGATGGCTGGGTCACGCAGCTAGAGACACAGATCATTCAAGCAGAGTCGGCAAAGGATCTGACCACGGTCAATCTACTCATGAAAAACCAGAATGTAAGAAAACCACTGATACTTGTTGTTGTTGTTATTGCATTTAGCCGATTAGCTCTGTAGTTTGGTAAATGTATAGAAGAACACATGCATATAGAACAGATATTGGTGGTTTGAATTCTGAAACTTATACCAATCCCCATTTTCAAAAGCTACACTGTTATATTAGGTTAATATGGTCGTGCCTGAAAAAATGCATGGAAGAGCTCCTGAGGTCTTCCTCTAGCAGTAAAGCTGGAGTGTTGGCGTATGACCTATAATGTGTCGCTGTGACGTCAAACATTACAAACAAATTGGGTTAATAGAGAAACAAACACGTCTGACATCATAGTAAGTTTGAGAGCTAATTTTTGTGATCGCTTTTCGTCCGGCGTCCGTCCGTAAACTTTTACTTTAAATGACATCTCCTCATAAACCACTAAGCCAATTTCATCCAAACTTCACAGGAATGTTCCTTTGGTGGTCACCTTAAAAAATTGTTCAAAGAATTTAATTCCATGCAGAACTCTGGTTGCCATGGCAACCGAAAGAAAAAACTTTAAAAATCTTCTTTTAAAAAACCATAAGAGCTAGAGCTTAGCTATTTGGCATGAAACATCTTCTAGTGAGTGTCTACCAAGTTTGTTCAAATAAAAGCCCTGGGGTCAAAATTGGCCCCGCCCCAGGGGGTCATTGATTTTCCTTATATGCATATAGTAAAAACTTAAAAAATCTTCTTTTAAAGAACCCAAAGAGCTAGAGCTAAGATATTTAACATGAAACATCTTCTAATAAGTGTCTACAAAGTTTGTTCAAATAAAAGCCCTGGGGTCAAAATTGGCCCCGCCCCGGGGGGTCATTGATTTTCCCTATATGCATATAGTAAAAACTTAAAAAATCTTCTTTTAAAGAACTCAAAGAGCTATGGCTAAGATATTGAGCATCAAACATGTTCTAATAGGTGTCTACCAAGTTTGTTCAAATAAAATCCCTGGGGTCAAAATTGGCCCCGCCCCAGGGGGTCATTGATTTTCCCTATATGCATATAGTAAAAACTTAAAAAATCTTCTTTTAAAGAACCAAAAGAGTTAGAGCTAAGATATTTAGCATGAAACATGTTCTAATAAGTGTCTATCAAGTTTGTTCAAATAAAAGCCCTGGGGTCAAAATTGGCCCCGCTTCGGGGGGGTCATTGATTTTCCCTATATGCATATAGTAAAAACTTAAAAAATCTTCTTTTAAAGAACTCAAAGAGCTATGGCTAAGATATTTAGCATCAAACATGTTCTAATAGGTGTCTACCAAGTTTGTTCAAATAAAAGCCCTGGGGTCAAAATTGGCACCGCCCCGGGGGTCATTGATTTTCCTTATATGTGTATAGCAAAAACATTAAAAAATCTTCTTTGAAAAAACCCAAATAGCTAGAGTTAAGATATTAAGCATGAAACATCTTTTAGTGAGTGTCTACAAAGTTTGTTCAAATAAAAGACCTGGGGTCAAAATTGGCCCCGCCCAGGGTGTCATTGATTTTCTTTATATGTGTATAGCAAAAACTTAAAATCTTCTTTGAAAAAACCCAAATAGCTAGAGTTTAGATATTAAGCATGAAACATCTTCTTGTAAGTGTCTACAAAGTTTGTTCAAATTAAAGCCCTGGGGTCAAAACTGGCCCGGCCCCAGGGGTGTCATTGTTTTTAACTATATGTGTATAGTAAAAACTTTAAAAAATTCTTTTAAAAAGCCCAATGAGCTAGAGCTTAGATGTTTAGCATGAAACATCTTCTTATGGGTGTCTACCAAGTTTGTGCAAATAAAAGCCCTTGGGTTAAATTGGCAACGCAACATTGGGGGGGGGGGGGGGGGGGGGCTATATACAGGTGAGCGACCTCAGGGCCATCATGGCCCTCTTGTTTATTATCATCCTGTTTTGATCCTATCAGGCCTTTACTAGGATGACTTTCAAAGCATGATATTATAATGATGTTTTATCTTTAGCCTTGTGTTCTGAAGTGACTGTAAATTTGTCATATATAGTAATATAGACATTTTCTGAAAAGGTGATTATGGCTATAAATATAAGAAAGCCATTTTGTTTCTATCACATGGACTGTTTCAATAATATGAATTTAATAAAAACAGTTTCACTTTCTTTAGATTGTTATTACTTTGAGAGAGATTTATTAAATGCAAAAGTAACTGGCTAAAGCTGCCTGAGTTTTGAAATATTAAGGACTTATACGAAGTATATTGAAAAACAAATGTTCAAGGAATAATTTGTAGGATAGGAAATTAGGAGAAAAAATACTTTATTGTATTATATGTGTATTGAACTGTTTAACATTTTCAGTTGCGGATTAACACTATAAATTCAGTATGTCACGAGGTTTCACTTTGTGTGACTTTCATTGTGTATTGCGATACATTTTTTTTGGATGTATTAAATAATAAAAAAGAAATAGAGTAACCAGAGACTCTTTGTCACAAAATGTTTTTTTTTTTACTCTTTGGTGATGGTAGAGTGACGTGATACTACAATTCACATCCAAAAATGTTGTAGAACTGAAGTGCTGTTCAAACAATCAGAAATCTGTGATTTGCTGTATATATCACTGCTGAATTTTTTTGTTCTGGATTTATTGTAGATGCTAGCGTACCTTTTTTCTCTCTTAAAAATAACAAATTTTTTCTAATCTTTGATATAACAAGCTTCATAGTCTTTTCTTGGAAGGAATTATTTTTGTATATGATCTATTTCTCTACTGTGGATTTTTTATTGTCTGTTGAGAAATTTAATTGCCTTAAACAAAATAGAATTTAGTATTTTATAGGAAGAATAATGCTTACTTTTTAATCAGGATAATTCTTTTGTGACTTTAATGCCATCTTAGTCTATAGGTAGATTTTTGTTGTTAATAAATTTCCTAGATAAATTTCAAGGGAAACTTCAAATTGAAAAATATCAATGAAGAATAGAACCTCAATAGTAGTATTTGCTTTTTGTTTAGAGTGATATGAAAAAGGAATGTTTGAAGGTACATTAAAAATCACATTGGTTAAACTGACAAAGTCTTTCAAATAATGATATATTTAATTGTCTTTCATGTTAACGAGTTAAAAGCATTGTTGTACTGTTTCATGCCTACAGCAATTAGAAAACCAGATGAAGTTGAAGGAACAACAAGTAAAGGAACTTGATGAACAGATGGTGCATGTGAAGAAGATTGAACCAGAAAAAGAGTCCATCATTGAGGCTAGGAAAGCAGCTGTTGCTGAAAGGTAAAACAACACTCTTATAAAATAAAATGATTGAAATTTGGGTTCAAACCCTGTCCATACATGTGAACTTTTTCTGGTGCCAAGTAGGGAGATTTGACCCTAAAAGTAGGTAGATTGAGTCTGTTGGGAGGGAGATTTTTGGAAACCGGACTTTTTGCGTACAGGAAGGTCTTAACACACAATTATTAAAAGCATTAACTACAAGTTCTTTAAAAACATTTTATTTTGCATGATAACTAATTAACAACCCAATTTTATCATTAAAAAACTTTCTTTATAAAACATACATGTTTTTTTTCCACTGCACTTGTGTTTTGATGTTTATGTAATTTACTCAACTTTCACTTACACACTTTACACAATAAGAACTGTCTTTATCTGTCATACATGTTTTTTAACTTCACTGTACACAAGTGTTGGCTAAATGGCATACACAGCCCATATCAGACACATCAGGTTGCTTCTCACGAATACGAGATAGGACAGATGTGACGGCCAACCATGACACTAGCGTTGTCAGACCCATACCCAATGCATTGCTTCCATGGTATATTCTGATCCCTGAAACAGAAAAAAATATCAATTATCATACCTAATATATTATTCATCATTTCATAATTTAAAACAGTTTAAATTGATCCTTCCAATAAAATGTAAATCATAGCCTTACAGAATATTACATTTTGTAGACACCTGTCGTGGATGAGTGTTAATCCCCATGACAATTTTCATTCAAAATAACATAATTGGCATTAATTGACAGTGTATTTGTTTAACAATAAACGGTACTCACCAGATTTTAGTCTCACTCGCATGTGCCTAATTACTGTTATCAGCAATTATAAAACGAATCGATATCGGTAAACCAGTCAATAAATGTTTACCCGAAACGCTTGTGTTGTATAATTTTTATTGCTTTTGAAGTGAAATATCGGTAGTTTGTAAACCCCGAGCGGTAGGGGGGTCTTAGTTGGCCAAAATCGGTAGTCTACCGCCCAAATCGGTAGGGTTCACATGTATGACCCTGTCAGGGGCAAGGTGTGTTTCCTTAAGCAAGAAACTTTACATTCTTTGCTTGGTACTGTTTGGTGAACAGATTTGAGAGTGTTCAATAAGCTTAAAGCTTCCAATGCAAGCAAACAGAAATAAATTTTTATAAACTAAATGGAAAATGATTAGCATTTGCCACCAGTAAAATCAGGCCGGCCTGAACATTGGTGCTGTCTGACCAGGCTCCACATTGTTAGTTTAATACTCAGAATTTATTTTACTTTGTGTTGTTAGTTTTGTAACAAATCTTAGCTTCATTGAAAAAGGAATGCTTAAAAGGAATAATAATTTAAAATTTCTAAAGATGGATTTTGAACAGTTTTTCACCAACTAAACCTGCATATTAGACCTAAATCAATTATGCAACTGAATAATGCTTTGTATATCTAGAGTTATTTTTCCTTGTTCATAGGTTTGCTAAGATCCAAGAACCGTTGGTGAAGAGACGTGAACAATTAGAGAAGGTGAAATTTATCCACCAGTTTGTTCGTGATGTGGAAGATGAGAAGTTGTGGATTGAGGAGAAGATGCCACAAGCAACATCTAAAGACTTTGGAAATAGTCTCCTCACTGTACAACTGCTGGAGAAAAAGAACCAGGTTGGTGTGGAAGTTGTTATTGTTATGATATTAAATATGAAATTTAATGTTGTAAACAAATTTTAGTAATTTATTTTGCAATAGATTCAGTATAATTTAATAAGTTTAGCAGATACTTTATTTCTTGTTTTGTCAAAGGTGTATATTTCTTATTTCCTGATAGCTCAATGATTTAATGAACAAAGGTACAATTTTTATCTACTGATATATCCCCTCTTTTAATTTTATCATTATTTAAAAAGAAACTAGGGAAATTGCAGATTAATATATAAGAGCAAACTGATTAGTATAACATTTGTAAATTGTGTAAAAAAAAGTTCTTATTTTTGCTTCCGAAGAACTAGAAATGTGCATGTTGAATATATTTATTTCTTTTTATTGCTTGATATTTTTCTTTGTTTATATTTAAGAAATTCAAAATGCAAGAGATTTGTAAAAATTCAGAATATTATATTTGTCTATGCATCCAGAGTGTTTTAGTTCGTTTTAATTAACTGTTAATAAGAGATTATGTAACTGTTTGTTCTAGAATCAAATACAGGTATTGTATATTGCAGTGTCAGCAGTCTTGACTTTATCAGCTATTATTATTCTCACACTCTTTATGTACAGGACTATTACCAGAGCTAACAAGTCATCCTCATCCCAAACCATTTTTGTTCAGTCATATTGTCAAGACATTTCATTCCATCGTAAAATCAAACCAGTTCTTTTATCAAACTGTCTGACCATTTCTTTTAATGATACAGTCAACCATATCTGTTTATGGTAAAATCAGATTATTTCTTTCCATCATAAATTTTAACCATTTTCTATCATATAATCAAACCATTTCTTTTTATCATACTGTCAAACCATTTCTTTCCGTCACCCAGGCAAACCATTTCCTTTCTTTCCATCACCCAGGCAATCCCACCCAGGCAAATCCATTTCTTTTCATCACCAAGGCAAACCATTCCCTTCCTTTTCATCACCCAGGCAAACCAATTTCTTCCTTTCCATCACTCAGGCAAACTATTTCTTTCCATTACCCAGGCAATCATTCCTTTCCATCACCCAGGCAAACATTTTTTTTCCAATACCCATGCAGACAAACTATTTCTTTCCATCACTCAGGCAAAGTATTTCTTTCAATCTACCAGGCTAACCATTTCAATCAAACCATTTCTTTCCATTACCCAGGTACACTATTTCTTTCCACCATCCAGACATTTTTTTCCCTCATCCAGGCAAACTATTTGTCATCAAGGCAAACCTTTTCTTTACATCATCCAGGCAAACCTTTTCTTTACATCATCCAGGCAAACCATTTCATTTAATCACCCAACCATTTCTTCCATCACCCAGGCAAATCATTTCCATGTATCATACAACCAAATGATTTCATTTCATTGTACAAGTTTATCATGCAGTCTGTCTAGTGTTTTATCAGTTCTGTTTTGTTGTGTTTGATGAGACAAAAGGGAGCTTTTGGAAAGGTTTGTCTGTTTTAATGTGAAGTGAAATTATGCTTTCTGTACAGAAGGGTAGAAGACACATTTATACCATACACATGCATTTAAAACTAAAGGTTTCACTCAACGTTATTTAAATGTTATCCAAGGGAAGTTTTCCTTCTACAATTTTTGCCAATGATTGAAACTTTTTATTAATGTAAATAATCATTGTTTTAATCCTCATAATCATCATTATCATCATCACTCTTATCATCATTATCATTACCATCACTGTCATCATTGTCATCATCATCATTGTCATCATTATCTTTACCATCATCATTATTAGCATCATCATCATTAATAAACATTATCATCATCATTATCATCATCTTTATTATCATCATCTTCATTATCATTATCTTTATTATCATCATCAGCATTATCATCATCATCGTTATCATCATCAGCAGCATTCATGCCTTGCACTAACTACCCATGCAGTACTATTGCAAACTATATATCGAATACTAGTATAACAAAAACATACAAAAATAAATATAGTGGGAAAGTACCATAATATTTAATTGTATATAGATATAAAGGTCAGAGACAATTAACACTTCATCCGGCTTTTTTCAAGGCTTTTAATAACAGGTGCCTGTTTACAATATATATGTGAGATTTATTTTAAAGGTGGTACTAAGTTATAGAATAGAGAAACTAATTTACAAATAAAGCCATTACCCTTTTACCTTATAGCTCTAGAATAAAGTATTACATGTATATATAATATATGCTATGTTAAATATACAAAAGAAATGTAAATTGGTGAAGCAATTATTATGACTTGATGTAGATTTATAATGCAATACAGCATGCATGGTAAGGGATAATCTTTTGGTCAATATTTATACAGTGTTGACAAAATTTTATCAGAAAATGATGAAAATATTTGAAATAAATTACGAGTAACATTAGTCTTTATAATTGAAAATATTCATTAGATGTACCGCTCTGTCTTCCAATATTATTTTGACTATTTTTATTTGTTTTTATTTTTCTTTTATATATAAAGAAAAGAGTTTGTACTAAAAAATAAGAGTGCATGTTTTGAGCATGTTGACTTTTTAGCTCACCTGTCACAAAGTGACAGGGTGAGCTTTTGTGATCGCTTTTCGTCCGGCGTCCGTCCGTCCGTCCGTCCGTCCGTCGTCCGTCCGTAAACTTTTGCTTTAAATGACATCTCCTCATAAACCACTGAGCCAATTTCATCCAAACTTCACAGGAATGTTCCTTTGGTGGTCACCTTTAAAAATTGTTCAAAGAATTTAATTCCATGCAGAACTCTGGTTGCCATGGCAACCGAAAGAAAAATCTTTAAATATCTTCTTTTAAACAACCCTAAGAGCTAGAGCTTAGATATTTGGCATGAAACATCTTCTAGTGAGTGTCTACCAAGTTTGTTCAAATAAAAGCCCTGGGGTCAAAATTGGCCCCGCCCCAGGGGGGGTCATTGATTTTCCCTATATGCATATAGTAAAAACTTAAAAAATCTTCTTTTAAAGAACCCAAAGAGCTAGAGCTAAGATATTTGGCATGAAACATCTTCTAGTGAGTGTCTACCAAGTTTGTTCAAATAAAAGCCCTGGGGTCAAAATTGGCCCCGCCCCGGGGGGTCATTGATTTTCCCTATATGCATATAGTAAAAACTTAAAAAATCTTCTTTTAAAGAACCATAAGAGCTAGAGCTAAGATATTTGGCATGAAACATCTTCTAGTGAATGTCTACCAAGTTTGTTGAAATAAAAGCCCTGGGGTCAAAATTGGCCCCGCCCCAGGGGGTCATTGATTTTCCCTATATGCATATAGTAAAAACTTAAAAAATCTTCTTTTAAAGAACCCAAAGAGCTAGAGCTAAGATATTAAGCATGAAACATCTTCTAGTGAGTGTCTACCAAGTTTGTTCAAATAAAAGCCCTGGGGTCAAAATTGGCCCCGCCCCGGGGGGTCATTGATTTTCCCTATATGCATATAGTAAAAACTTAAAAAATCTTCTTTTAAAGAACCATAAGAGCTAGAGCTTAGATATTTGGCATGAAACGTCTTCTAGTGAATGTCTACCAAGTTTGTTCAAATAAAAGCCCTGGGGTCAAAATTGACCCCGCCCCAGGGGGTCAAAGATTTTCCCTATATGCATATAGTAAAAACTTAAAAAAAATCTTCTTTTAAAGAACCCAAAGAGCTAGAGCTAAGATATTTAACATGAAACATCTTCTAATGAGTGTCTACCAAGTTTGTTCAAATAAAAGCCCTGGGGTCAAAATTGGCCCCGCCCCAGGGGGTCATTGATTTTCCCTATATGCATATAGTAAAAACTTTAAAAAAATCTTCTTTTAAAGAACTCAAAGAGCTAGAGCTAAGATATTTAGCATGAAACATGTTCTAATGGGTGTCTACCAAGTATGTTCAAATAAAAGCCCTGGGGTCAAAACTGGCCCCGCCCGGGGGGGGGGGGTCATTGATTTTCTTTATATGTGTATAGCAAAAACTTAAAAATCTTTTTTAAAAAAACCCAAATAGCTAGAGTTTAGATATTAAGCATGAGACATCTTTAAGTAAATATCTACAAAGTTTGTTCAAATAAAAGCCTGGGGGGTCAAAACTGGCCCCTGCCCCAGGGGTGTCATTGTTTTTAACTATATGTGTATAGTAAAAACTTTAAAAATCTTCTTTTAAAAAACCCAATGAGCTAGAACTTAGATGTTTAGCATGAAACATCTTCTTATGGGTGTCTACCAAGTCTGTTCAAATAAACAAATAAAAGCCCTTGGGTAAAAATTGGCCGGGGGGGGGGGGGGGGGGGGGGGGGGGGGGGGGGGGGCTATATACAGGTGAGCGACCTCAGGGCCATCATGGCCCTCTTGTTGTTTTACTTTTGCATGATTCACTTTTGGTGATATTTTGATTTAATTTCTTTATAGTTTTGTAAGATCATGTAGACTGGAAATAAAACCGATCCTATTTTGTGTTACAGTCTTTACAGACGGAAATAGACAACCATGAACCAAGGATTAGCTCCCTTGTTGAGACTGGTGAGAACCTGATCAGCGAGGGTCATCCACAGTCGGAAGAGTTCAGGGCCCTGATTGATGATCTTATCAACAGGTGGCAGGCATTGAAAGATGCCCTCGAACAGAGGAAAGAAAGATTACAACTCTCAGACACTGCCCAACAGGTTTGTTCTTTTATTCTGGTCTCGTAAATGTTGGTTTATCGTGATTATTATACCTCATGTTTGAATATACAAAGTGTAATGGGTTTTATGTATTTAAATATCAGAAAATTGAATGTGAGCAAGCTTTTGATGTAACAGTTTACATAAAATAAGTGTATAGACTTTTTGCCCCAAGCATATTGTCCACAATACCTTCTAAGATAATCTATAGGTATTAACATTTGTATATGGATACTATAATTTCTGAAACACTGCCTTAACAAAGTTTTGGTTCAAAATGACTGTATTATCAGTGTAGTCATTTTACCTCAACACATTTTCATGCCAAGTTATGAGTCTTTATGACTTGTAGTTTCATTTTTGCAATACAGGCTGGGAAAGTCCTTGAATTACATATGACTACCCATATAAAGTGGAAATCTTGACCACAAAACATATCAAGATGAATATTTAAAAGAGATTTTAATCACTGGCAATTCATGTACATGATCAAACTGTATAACAGAATGTTATGGTTCTAGTCTTTAGTCTACTTGTGCCAAAAATAATGCACAGATGGACACCTGGGGTTCTGCCTCAACCAATAAGGCTGAAATGCAGCAATGGCATTTACTGGGTTGTTGTGACTTAAAAACTAAGAAAGAAATGAATAAAAAAAAAGAGAGAATAACTTTTACAAGTAAATCACTTATCTATTACAGTACTATTATGATGCGTCGGAGGCAGAGGCATGGATGAGTGAACAAGAGTTGTACATGATGGGCGAGGAGAGAGCTAAGGATGAGATCGGAGCCCAGAACATGATGAAGAAACACCAGGCACTTGAATATGTAGTAGAGGACTATGCTAATGTTGTAAGACAGCTGGGAGAACAGAGTAGAGCTCTTATTAACCAAGATCATCCAGAGAGGTAAGTAACTGTTACAGTTTGGTAAAAAAAAGTTGTAAACTTAGTTCAAATTTGATTTCAGTAACCTGGATGAATAGTTTTTTATCACATACTGGTGCCACTTTTGCAACTCTGGTATTGCACGACTGTGCATATATTTTGACGTGACGACATCATTTGATGTATACAAGCATAGTGTAAAGACGTGCTAAATGTTAGCTTTATACTATTAGTGTTGATGAAAAAAATGTTTCTTTTTCACTTTAAACAGTCTTTACTTTGGGTATGTGATAAATAGAATATTATATTTGTGTAGGTTCATTAATGGATTTAATTGAATTCATTGAATGAAATAAATTATGCTCGCCATAACAACTTGTTCAATAAATTTAGTATTGAACTTACACTCATTCAATATCCTCTATATCCTTGTAATATATTTTGTAAATTCTGCCAATAAAAGCTAGTAAATCAATACAAATGAAATGAGAATGTGCATGCATTAAATAATAAACTTTAAAAATCATCACAAACAGAAGGTATTATACATTGATGAAAGTTTTAGGATTATTCCTGAAGTCAAGAATTTCAGACTTAATTCGCTGTGAAAAGATATCAATGAAAAGAACAAATTTCAAAAAAGTTTTTATAATACAACTTTCACCTTTAAACATTGCTAAAAAGTTTATGTCAGTCCAAGTCAGTACTGTTCTAGTATTTAAAAGACTGTTATTGCATTATGAGTATATTGTGTAGTATTGAATATACATGAACATATTTAATAATGTAACTTATTTTTAATTCATATATGTTTACAATATTTTCAGTGATCAGATTGCAGTAAGACAGTCACAGGTTGACAAATTGTACGCAGGTTTGAAGGATCTCGCCCAGGAGCGTCGCAGCAAACTGGAAGAGGTTCTCAAACTGTACATGCTGAGTCACGAGATCGAGGATCTCATGCAATGGATCGCAGAGAGGGAAATTGTAGCCAGCTCACATGAACTTGGACATGATTTCGAACATGTTACTGTAAGTGTTTATAGGTGTTTTAATTTTATGAAAAAAAAATTTTGTTTTCTTTATTAAACTAAATTAGAACAGTTATTGTAAGTGTTTATCGGAGGTCTGTGTTTACATGCATTCATTTCCACTTTTATGAAAGTTACTGTAAGTGTTTACTGGAGTTCAGTGTTTACAGGTGTTCAGTTTTACTTTTATGAAATAATTATTTTGTTGTCCTTATTAAACAGAATTTTGTTTTAGTAGATTAGTTATTATTTTTATACAAAACATTCGACAGCATAGAATTATAAGTTTACAAATAAAGTCTTTAGTAATCTGGTTTGATATTACTTGAACATTGAAAAGTATAATACAAGTATTAAAATAAAAGGCTACTTATTATCAACAATTCATTCTTTCTTAACACTGTATGACAGATTAACTTTTTGTTTATTTTACAGTTACTTAAGGAAAGATTCCAAGAATTTTCGCGAGACACAATATCGATAGGAACCGAGCGAGTGGCAGCAGCCAATCAGACTTGTGATAATCTGATAGCCCTAGAGCACTCCGACTCTGCCACGATCGCTGAATGGAAAGACACGCTGAATGAACGATGGGAGGACCTTCTTGAGTTGATTGAGACTAGACAACAAGAACTACAGGCTTCTTGGGAACGTCACAAGTTCTTCAGCGATTGTAAAGAAACTCTAGAAATCATATATGTAAGTATTCCTTTATTTTTGTATGGTTACTAAACATAATTGAAAATATATTTGGTGTAAGATGAATATTATTGTGTATATAAAACTGAATATTCATTTGGCGTAAGATGATATTATTAACCTAGAGATGATATATAAGCTCTAGTATAGTAATAAGTTTCAGTGAAATATGTATATGACACAAACATTTTATGCTGTTTTACTTTTTTATCCCAACATTGTAGTTTTTGTGATAACTATGTTAAGATAATTAGGTATGACCTTCTATAAAGTTAATCTTACATTGCAGGAAAAGCAAAATTATATCCCAGAAGAGCTTGGCAGAGATGCACAAAGTGTGGCTGCCTTACAAAGAAAACATGCCAACTTTGAACAAGATCTGGTCACTCTTGACTCACAGGTATGTTGCCTCCTCTTCCTTAAAATGATCTTTTTTTGTTTGTAAATTTTACTGTGCTTTGATTAGCAACTAACTAGGGTCATTGAATTTAGTGTAAAACAAGTTTTTCACCTATATTATCCAGTCATGACTGAAATAATGCAAGAAGGTAAACCAAGAATTTTCATTTACTGGTGAAAGCTTGAAAGTTACCTGAACAGTCTCGCTGTTACTTTGAAAACAATAAAGTTAAAATGAGTAGTATTTAATGATAAGGATCCAGTTCCCAGCATATCAGTTTATTTTAATTTCACAGGTTCAAGCAATACAAGAGGAGTCTGCTCGGTTACAATGTGGTTACGCTGGCGACAAGGCACGGGAGATCCACGATCAGGAGCAAGAAGTGCTGGACGCATGGAGAAACCTACACAAGATGGTTGAAACACGAAGAATGAAACTTGCTAACGCTAGTGACCTTTACAGATTCTTTAACATGGTCAGAGATCTACTACTCTGGATGGATGATATCATACGACAGATGAACACACAAGAAAAGCCGAGGTACAATCTTGTTTCTTTATTATTTCATCTTTTTTTATGAAAAATTTAAATAAATAAGTTTACATTCCCTCTATCTCAGAATTTGCTGTTTGTGTTAGATACATAGTATTCTGATGTGTGGTTTAATTGGTGGTCTTTTCTTGATAGATCTTAAAAGATTGCCTGTCTTTAAATGCACTGGTAATTAGGTTTTCAGAGAGATATACTTATATAAATAAAACTGTTTTTGTCTTTTCTAGTATATTGTAACTCAGAAATTAACATTTTTATCCTTACATCATTAGTTTACTTACTGTTATGATATATAAGTTTTATATTTTACAGTAAGAATGCTTTAAAAGTGTTAATAAAGCTATAAGAATGCTTAAAAACATGTTTAATAGTTCTAATTAAAATTGCTTTAAGAAACGATTGAGAAGACCTCCTGTGTGTGAAGTTTTCACAATATATCTTGGCTTTTACAGAGATGTGTCTGGTGTTGAGCTATTAATGAACAACCATCAGAGTTTGAAGGCAGAGGTTGATGCAAGAGAAGAGAATTTCACTATCTGCATAAACCTTGGCAAAGATTTACTTGATAGAAAACATTATAGATCTGATGAGGTATGTACACTGCTGAAGATGTTGAAATTGAGCCACGTCATGGCAAACCAAACTTAGTGCATTTGCGACCAGCATGTATCCAGACCAGCCTGCCCATCCGCGCCATCTGATCAGGATCCATGCTGTCTGCTATCAGTTTCTCTACTTGTAAAAGGGCTTGTAAGCAAACAGCATGGATCCTGATCAGAGGTATCCGCGCAGGCTGGTCTGGATCCATGCTGGTCGCAAATGCATTATGTTGGTTTTGTCATGGCGCGGCTCAAGTGCCTTTTTCTTGCCAATCTGATACTGTGATAACTGTATTCTCCTTTCTTTGAGCTTAACCTTAATCCTGCTGATTTTGTATAATTGACTAAACCTGGAACAGTCCATTAGTACCGGAAGTGGAGAGTAGTGGTGTAGTTCAGTATCAACGTCTGTGGTTTATGCCTTACAATGGTTAAATATTATTGTATTGTCAATGAGTAATGTTCTGGAGTGGTGAAGGAGGGGATACATGAAAAATGGTTTTGCTACTGATTAAATCAAAAATAAGTCTCTATAAAAACATAAAATAAACTTAAAGAATTTGTGATCAGTTTATAACTTAATTCATTTATAACTTAATTCATGTCATAATTGTATTTCTGTACCTGTTCAATACATTTTCTCCATATGATGATTGTGTTATGATTTCAGGTTAGAGAAAAATTAATAGATGTAACAAAGAAACGACAGGGTATGGTAGATCAATGGGAAACAAGATGGGAATATTTACAATTAAGTAAGTCATACTTTACACTTACCTTTGATTATAGTAGAAATAAGTATAGAAAATAGATTGTATGTTAGGGACGTATATTGCTGAATGATGTAGGTAACAGATATTGAATCAAGTGTTTCTCACTGCTGTCAGTTTCATGTGTAACAATGATAACTTCTTTAATAGATTCCACATTTCATTTATGTTATGACACATTATTTGTACAATAAATGAAGGAATGACTTATGTATATTAATTTCCAAGACAGAAGCAATTTTGTTTTAGTCATTGCATTGTTCTGTTTCAGATAGTGATTTATTTTGTTATTTTCAATTAAATGAAAAAAGTCGATAAAGGTGTACATGGAAATTTTTCCTAACATTTCTCTATGTTTATATTTACAGTATTAGAAGTATACCAGTTTGCTAGGGATGCTGCTGTGGCAGAAGCCTGGTTGATAGCACAAGAACCATACCTAATGAACCAAGAATTAGGGGTAACTTTTCAATTTTGTATTAAATTTGATTAAAATTTTTATTCCAAAGTGTTTAACCTATCCTTGATCTACTTTAACACAAGAACTAGCACACATGATCTATTTGATCAGAACTGACTTTTAGAGCACTGCAAATAACCTTCATAGAATGTGATTTTTAGTACTTTAAAAGAAGTAATCATTAAATTCAGTCATAAAATTTAATCATAAAAAAGTGTATGAAGAGTTTCAAGCCTCCTTATTTTAGCCAATATGTTGCTTGGTTACGAAGGTTACAAATATTGTGTTGTCATATTTACAGGACACATTAGATGCTGTAGAAAACTTGTTGAAGAAACACGAAGCATTTGAAAAATCTGCAGCCACACAAGAAGAAAGATTTGCTGCACTAGAAAAATTAACAACGGTAAGTACAAACTTCCTACTAACTTTTTGATGCTAATAGGGATTCAAGAATTTTTATGCTCCAGACTTAATGATGGATTGTTTTAGTTGGAGTTATTTTGTTAATGTAAGCATTAATCACTTACAAATTTAAAGCTTGAATAGTTTGAAAGTCAAAATAGCGGATGAGAAATGCTGAAATTCATTATTGTAGAAAGCAAAAACGTACAGGTAGGAGTTTTTATGTGAAAGTCATGAATATTAATTTTCATTTCTATGAAGTCCTCAGACTTAGCTCTGAATTGATAGGTAGGGCATTGAATTTGTAATCTAGGAGTCCCTGGTTTAATCCTTAAGGAAGGTGAAAATTTTCCATGACAATTGAGTCTAATGGTCAATTGTCACTCGCATAAAATTCAGAAATCGTGAAGGATTATAGTTGGTCAGTTGTGGAGAAATCGGCAATTAACTGGTTAGTTATCCAGGAAAGTTAGAAAAAAATATGGTAAGATCAGCTTAAAACAAAACAAACTAACTATGTTTACAGTTTGAGATGAAGGAAAGAAAGAAGGCGGAAGAGGAAAGCCCAGAAGATGTGTTAAGAGCAAAGGAAGAAAAATTACAGCGTTTAATAGCTGAATTCTTACCCCCAGAGGAACCGTAAGTCTTGTGTTTCTTTCTAAATAAAATGTTTTAGACATATTCTGCGTTACATTTATCTTTATTGAAGTCTGTAAGAGAAGTCTTTGTTATTGAATTATTTTGATATTAATCATGTTGGTTGATTAATTTGACTGTATTTTAATGTGTCTTGCCTCGTTCATGCCTGAAATAATGAATGGAAGGTCTTCCTCCACCAGTAAAGCTGTAAAGTTGCCATATGACCTATACTGTGTTGGTGTGACATAAAACACAAACACACAAACTAAGAGAAGCCTTTATTATTGAATGATTTATTGTCACATTGCTTGAATAATTTGATAGTATTTTAATGTGTCTGCCTTAAGTTTGTTCTACTTGTATAGATAGGATTATAATTTAATGACAGTCAGATGTATAGGAATGAAAATGTTCACATTCTTTGCTACTTGAATTATTATTATGCCCCCACTTCAAAGAAGAGGGGGTATATTGCTTTGCATTTGTCGGTCCGTAGACCAAATGGTTTCCGAGTGATAACTAAAGAACGCCTAGGCCTAGGAACTTCAAACTTGGTATGGTGATTGGTCATGACCAGTAGATGACCCCTATTGATTTTGGGGTCAAAGGTCAAGGTCACATGGACCTTGTAGGTAAAAACGGTTTCTGATCAATAACTAAAGAACGCTTAGGCCTAGGAACTTCAAACTTGGTATGGTGATTGGTCATGACCAGCAGATGACCCCTATTGTTTTTGGGGTCAAAGGTCAAGGTCACATTGACCTTGTAGGTGAAAACGGTTTCCGATCAATAACTTGAGAATGCTTAGGCCTTGAAACTTCAAACTTGGTATGATGATTGGTCATGACCAGCAGATGACCCCTATTGTTTTTGGGGTCAAAGGTCACATTGACCTTGTAAGTGAAAACGGTTTCCAATCAATAACTATCAACGCTTAGGCCTAGAAACTTCAAACTTGGTATGATGATTGGTCATGACCAGTAGATGACCCCTATTGATTTTGGGGTCAAGGGGTCAATGTCAAATTGACCTTGTACTTAATGATGGTTTCTGACCAATAACTCAACAACTCAAGTTGCCTTGGTTGATATTTTTATATTAAACTAAAAATGCTTTTGGTATACACATTTGAAGGTCTTATGTAATTTAACAACTTGGCTGTCATTAATGAGGCCTACATGATTTATAAAATTTATGCATATATTTTTTTGTAAGATTTGTAATAACTTAAATTGCTGCACTAAACTTATGGGGTCACAATAATTATTACCTTGTGACTAGTCATGACCAGTAGATACTAGATAACCCTTATTAATTGTTTGTTCACTGGGTCAGAAGTCATGCATAATAACCTGATCACATGACTAATTGGCTTCCGATAGGGGGCATACATGTTTTACAAACATATCTTGTTTTACATGAGGCCTTTTTATCTCTGCCAATTTGTTAAATTTACATTTTGATACATGTAATTATGAAGTGCGTTTTCTGAGAATTGTAAATTCTTTACACCCTTTTCTTACCAACAGCCCAACCCCAGAACCTGAACCCGAAGTACCCGCAAGCCCAGAAGAACAAAAGCAAGAGGAGGAGCCCATTGTAGCGGAGGCCCAGAAAGAGGCTGAAGCCCTAATACAGTCAGGTAATTACCGCCTATCATCATCAGATAGTTCCTCTATCAGATTGATACCTTATAGATTTAGTAGATGTTGTCCGTTTACGATAGTAATAAATTGTTGTTCTAACGTTTTAGTAATGTTGTAAAATTCTAATACGGTGATTTTTTTCTTACTCTATATTTTATAGTTGGAATGAAAGACTGCTTTTACATATACAATTATCATTTTACAATCAAACTTTTAAAGTAAATGTATATTTTTATTGAGAATGATTGATATCATATTTGTTTTGTTTTTTTAAAGAAAAGAAAGTATTTAAAAAAAATAATTTTTTGTAAGTCATACAAATTATGAAAAAACTTTAGATGGGTTTATTTCTAAAGGACTATTTCATTTTATCAACATTTAATGACTATTTAACCTGCAGTTTTTCATCACAGTAATGTTGTTCATCTCGGTAGTCTCTACTAGTCACATATATACACATATCTGTCTCTATCTCTAGTAGATATTCTATATAGTCGTAGATTCCTCCAGCTGTCTTTATAGCAGCATGTGAATGACATTGATAATCCAGAACAAAATAAAACAAACTTTTATTTTAATCTTAACGCAAGTTTTTTAGTTTTTTCATACATATATGTGTTTAATTTTTTTTCTAAACAAACATGATTTTATACATCGTAACACAAACATCATTCTGGGAATGAACGTTGATTTTTTATTTTTTTTGTAATGTCTTGAGACGGTTTTTTTTTTCTTCTTTGTTTCTGATTTCATGTGATGTTGTATTTGGGTTTTTGTAAATGTTGCATAAATATTTCTGGTCACTAACCAACACTCTGACTATATTTAGATACGACAGTATCCACTCCCACCGTCTGGGATGTAGAACTTGGTAAGATGTCATTTTGCGCTAACCATTTTTTTTTTTGCGACCTCACACATTTTCTGTTTATTGGGCCACTGGAATACCAGCATTTCTCTTTCATTTTGTTTTGCTAGTCTTTATTTTTAAGTTTTAACCAAACAACTTTGTCTTATAAAAAGGCTTGTATTTTCACCTTATGCTTATTATGTTTTGGTTTACAATCATTTAATTTGTCCGACCTTTCATAGCATGTGGTTTAAAAGATTTAATCCTTATTTAATATTTTGTTACTGTTTAAAATCATATTTCTGATAACATTTTCTCGATCAATTTCTTCTATCTTTTAAAAACACCTTTATTTTTTTCTTTTTAAGTTTCATTTTCATGTCATTTTGATTTTATTTTGCAATTCTTACCAATATTTTATTTGATTTTATTATTATATGATTAGAGCCTCGCTCAGTGCCGCCCGTTCTTTCTGAACCAATAAAACAGCCTGATCCTCAGATAGTAGAAGGTATATCATATAACTTCTAAAAGGGTTCAAAAGTGCTATAGTATCTGCTAGAATATTATATAATCAGTAATGTTTTACACGCTGAAACTTTATCTAACAGCAGCTAAGTCCTTGTCCTACTTTTTCGTCGAATTAGAATGCCTAAATTTGAAAATTCATGGCAGTCTGTTTTGTATAACCGTCTTCAGTAGCATTTATTTAACCATTTATTTAAATGGTGCATATGTCTGGATAAGCATTACAAGCCCCTGTGATAAGTACATGAAAAACCAAGTTACATGCTTATAAGATAGGATTAAATGTTTTGAAACAGCTGCAATCGGTCCCAGGTCACTCCTTTGGAGCTGTTGAAGTTGTTTTAATTTTCCTAATTAGGTAGCGTCAAACTATAACTTCATCATTTCCCCACTGTTGAGTTAACTAGCAATGATAATGCCTTGCAAAAGCCACCAGTATATATCCAGGCCAGCTTGCTCAATCTCAGTACTATAATGTTGAAATACCTGAAACTAGAAATAGCCAGTTTCTTATTCAAAGCAGGGCAAATCCGTTCATCAATGTTGGTCTAACCAGGGCGAAACTTTTATTTCAATTCAAATCAGAGCAAGTCCAACATTTAAAATAAACTCTGCACAAGTCCAGTATTCTAAGTCTAAACAAGGCGAATTTTTTATTCATAATTATAAATTATTCATATAAAACGGCAAAAGTCTAGTATTCAAAGTCATTAGAGGAAAAATCTGTTATACAAATAGTCAGTTGAACAAATTAGGCAGAACACGAAACGACTCTGACTAGAAATACCAGCCTTGACCTAACAGCTTTTTTATGCTTTATGCCTAAGCAATAAGTACTGATTAACAAAAGTTTACAGTTTAACCTATGTGGATAAACTAGCTTAAAATTTTCTTACCTGGCAAAACTAGTTAAGTTTTATTTTACTTTATTAAAAATTAAGAATTTTTTTTACTTAAACATTTTGTTAATAATTGCCATTTGTTTTCAACCTTATTACTCAAACACTGGGATTTTAAATAATTTGGGTGTTTTGTATACATGGCTTGGTTTTTTTTCACTCAAATGATGTTGCAGTGATACATGGCTAGTAAATTAAGCAGATTGCTGTGTTAAAAACAATAAAGCTCTTCTAATATTTCTAAAAACTGCTTTTTAGAAAATGATTAATAAATTTCATGTATTATCAATTTTTTTCTTCATAAATATTAAATTTCTGTAATAAATATACAAGTTGATAACAAAATAAATGATATTTGAAAATAAAGTGATGTTTTTTAATACACACTCTCTAACATAACCAATATAATTTTGCACTGTTTGATTTAATATACAAATATTGTTTTCATTTATTTATTTATATGAAAATATATTAATATTTTATTTATGTTGAATGAGACACTGTTACTGTATTTTTGAATGAAAAACATTTTTTTCATCTTTATCATCTGATATTTTTTGTCTTCACTTGATTCAGCAAATAAGATTATGTTAATTTGATAACATTTATCATGATTTTGTGTCATAACAAAATCTCATCTTTAAACCAATATTTTCATAACTTGATTTAACAAAAAAAGTCTGTATAATAAATCATTGACTATAATAGTATAATTTATACACAAAATATTGATAATATATTTTACACACAAAAAAAATCTCTGTACTCAAAATAATGTCGTAAAAGATGTTTTATTTTCAAAGATAAGTACATGTAATTTATTCTTACTTTTAAAAAGGGGAAACTACAAATTTTTATAACAATGAAGTTTTTCAATCTAAAGTTTTATTCAATGACAATGGGGCTAAAAAATTAATTATACATGATATATTGAATAATACTGAATGTGCTGTCAAAATCAGGTGAAGGCATTAAATTTATCAGTTCATAACATCAGCATTTTGTGCATAAAACAGTTTTATTTATCAATCTGCATAATGAAAGTATAACCAGTATGAGTATATAAACTATACTTTATTATAATGCTACCTAGAATCACCAGCTCGGGGCCATCCGTCAGCTAGGCTAATACGTCGAGAGGAAAAAGGTGAATAACTGTCAAATTTTTGATAACCAAAATTTAATATTATATCTTAGAAACTTTTTTTTTATATTGGTTGGGTATGAGATGGTACAAGAAAAGATCTCTTAGGTTTTTACAGGATTACCAGGCCTCGACATTAGCGGTGGTCCGTTGGTCTGAGACCACTTGGTTTTGGCAAGGACCACCTAATTTTAAAACCCACTGGTCCGTCGGACCACTTGAATTTTCTGGTTGATACAAGGCTTATGTGGGAGAATGGCGATTTGGTCAAAAACATGTTATATACTTTTGTTTAAAATCATTAATCTATGTCCGATGTACATTTTTATGGTTCATTAATCTCTGATTAGTTACAGAAGTTCTTAAGTCATCAATAACTTTCATTTTAAGTCGCTAAAATTTTGTTTATGCAAGTTAAAAGAGTTAAGAATTTGTGATGTAAATTTAGGTACAAATTCATTCAAATGGTGCTAGTAATTATGCATTGTCTGATTACCACGGCGGAACCATTAACATTTTATGTTATGTTACATATTAATCAACCGGGAGTATCCGATGATGGTAATTATATGATATTGGATAAACTTAAATTTCAGATATTTGAATAACGGCAGCAAACGAAAGGAACTGGAAAAAATACATCTAGTAATTCTATGCTATTTATCTTTATTTTAACTGTTTAACGATAAGAGATCTGTTTCTTCTAGAGTTAAAGTTATTTTAAAAGGTTAAAAATACCTAATGTCAAAAATGAATATCAAATAACAAGCAACAGGGAGGTAAAATTATGTATTATAAATATGTGAGAAAATATAAATATGTGAGAAAAATAAGATAAGTTATAGTAAATAATAACGTTGTCATTATTTTAATAATTTAGATATTTCCTTGTTTTCAAAGACAAGAATAAGATAATTTATTAGTTCCATTAAAAATGTTAATCTATAAAAGATGCTATGTTATTTATAATCATGATTATAAGACATACCACGTATCAGCAATGGATATTTGAATAACAGTAAGAAAATTACAGACACATTTAAATGGCTTCACTATATATTCCCTAACTTGAGTTGAGGGAGAAATCACATTAATATAAAAGTTAACATAAATAAGAGCTCTGCTGTGTATTTTTGACTGAGATAAAAACAAATAAACAAATAACTCTACGATAAAATACCTACTGACTTGCTCTCCCTTTTCTGATTAGACGAAAAATATATATCTAAAAATATCTGTTCTCTTTAAAGGTTAATAATACATCTTTGTCATAAAGTTTAAACATTTTTTTGTACATTTGCAGTTAAATGATATAATAATGATAACTGACCACCTCACTTCTGGAAGGACCACCTAACTTTCAAATCTAGTGGTCCGGCATACCACCTGCTAAAAAAGTTAGTGTCGAGGCCTGATTACTGCTTCTAAACTAGATTGATAATTGAAAAGTACCAGTTTGTGCTCCTTCGTTGTTTGTATCAAAACTATTTTGACATACATCAAACTACGAAAAGAAGCTTAACACATATCCACCATAAAACACACACAAAAACATTTTCTTAAATACTTTGAATAATAAATTTCTATAACTACAAAGAGTACAATGTAAATTTTGTAAGGTCACATAAAATGAGAGCTATTGAAATTCTAGTAATCTAGTTTGGTAGCAGTAACAAAATGCATGAGACAGGTGTTTATATATTATGTTATGTTTATGGGATCAAATAGATTGTATAGGAGTTGAGGAGAGATTTATTTTGTAGCGGGTCTGTTTCAAAACATGGATTTAAACATGCTGCATCTTTTCTGTTGTGGTAGTGGTGGTGTTATTGTAGCACTATTATTGTTGTTTTACCAACATATAAGTACTGTTTGATTTATCTATACCAATCATGACTTTTAAATTGAGAGACCCTTTATGATAATTTGCTGATTGAAGTATTCATTAAATTGCCCCCAAGCATGACATAAGACAGTTTCTTTTGTGAACAATATGGCGTGCTTAAATTAAAGATGGGGGTGGGAGGGGGGAGTAATATCCACTAAAAAAGAGAAAGAAAATCAAACAGTGTATATTGGGTGGTTTTTGCCTGCATGTTTCTGAAATCTTGATGTTGTTGAACATTGAATTCAAACCATTGATTTCAAAATGGCTGCAACAAGATTTGGGAAACATAAATTTGTGTAAAATCACTACTCAATATTAAAAGTCGATGTATTCCTTGCCAATGAAATTCCACTTTACTAGCCAAATTTTTTAAAATTATTAAAAATTTTGACCACAGGGAATAAATAATAAGAAGATTTCATCATTGCTTCGAAATTTATTATGAAATATAATACATGTTACATGAAAAGTGATTTTACACAAGTAGATTTTGCTTCTGCATATATTTTCTGGTGTTGGTAACTTTGGTGTTGGTATCATCCCATTAGTTCATCCTCATCCATGGTTGCTATAGTAACAGTGAATGTAGTCATCTTTTAAGTTCAGTTTTGCATGCTTTTACTTTTCTGTGGTACAGGTGCTACTACTGTAGTTTCTTCAGAACCCCCGCCTACTTCACCGCGCGAGAGAAAAGACGAGGTGACCCCTAAATCCTCCCGAAGGTCAGGGTCAAGGACAGATGTGACCCCTGATTCATCTTCAAGAAAAGGTTCAAAATCAGATGTTAGGGGTTCACCAAAGTCAGGCCGAAGGTCGTCGCCCCGTACTTCCCGCCATAGGGACCCTTCAGACCCAATGGCCCGAGGGGACGCCTCCACTCCTAGGAGTATGTGTAACAAGAGTGATTTAAGAAGATGAAATTTCAAAATTTATTTATTTTATTATTATTTTGTTAAACTATTGATAAAATTTATGCAGTTTATTTCAATTTTGCATGTTTTTGATGTTGTAACTTTCACAGTTTATTAATTTAACAATTTAAAACTTGCACTTGATGTTGTCTATTTTCTAACTTTGCACTTTGGATGCATTATGATGCATAGTTTATTTCTAGTTCTTCTTATCATTTTCAGTGCATGAATAATTTCATAAAGTACATAGATAATTGAAGAAAAAGATGATTTTAAATCTGCAGCAAAGAGAATGTTTCATATATCATAACGTCTTGACTACTTAACATCTTGAATTGAAGTCATTGGACTTTGCATGATGATAGTTACATATTTATATAAGCTCTTTTATTCTAAACTAAGATCAGAAGGATGTTTATTGTCACATTGGCTTGGCATACTTTGTTCACTTATAAGTTCAAATATGTTACAACTGTGTGGCAATGAACCACTTACTGTTTGACTTGGATACACATGGTTGTACAGTGTTTTTGATTGGTTGTTGCTATGGTTACAGAATCTCCGGCAGCTGGTCCTAGTACGGTACATGAGGAAGGCAACCTGAGCAGGAAACATGAGATGGAAGGACCCATGAAGAAAGCTAGCAACAGGTAAGTCTTGTTAACTTTTACCCCCACCCCCCTTCCCCAAAATATATGAATTAATAAAATACACTGTACTGGTTATATTTTAACACCCAGCTATATGGTAACGAGACAGCATTTTCTAGTCGGGCATTAATCTTTTTGACTACATATATATTGTGTACATTTTCAGAGACTTACATAAAGATAAATGAATGCATGTTCTAATATGGTTTCCATTATTTCATTAAAACTTTGATGACCAGTTGATGTATGAATATTTATGATATTTTCAGATCCTGGGACAAAGTATATGTGGTTGTGCATGGACCTGCACTCTCGTGTTACAAGGACCAGAAACATGCTAAACAGGTACACTTTTTGTTACATCTTTTAAAGGAGCTGTTCTTTTCCTCATGCACTAACATTTAATTGTATTAAGGTCAGCCTTGACATTGGTTAAGAAAATGTTTTATGTTATACTTCAGAGTAATAATACATTAAGTAGGCTGGAAAATTGCTAGAATATTGTACATTATATTATGAAATTAAAGAAAATAATGTGTACTGAGGCTTTAGATTAAATTAAATTTATGTATAAATACATTTAGGCTGCAAGAAAATAAAAAGAATGCATTAAGGCTATAAGAAAAATGCCAAAACATTAAGGTTAGAAGAATAATGCTGAAAAATGCATCAAGGTTAAAAAATAATGGTAATTCATTAAGACTACAGATAATGCCAAAACATTAAGGCTATAAGAATAATGCTTATAAATGCATTAAGGTTGTAAAAAATGTGCTAATTCATGAAGACTTTACAAATAATGCAATACTTTTATGGTGATAAGAACCATGTTAATGCAGTCCGGATGTAAGAATAATGTAAGTTCATTATTAAAGGAAGTAAGAATGATGCAAATACTGTTATACTTTAAGAATAATGGAAAGGGTCCAGAAAAAAGAAAGATGAAATTTTTTCAGAAAGAGGAAAGCAGAATTTCATTTAGCATATAGAATGTAAATTTTGCTTGAATAATTTTGTGATCATCAACTACATGATTCAATAATGTACAGAAGTTTTTCCATGACCATATATTTACATTATTGAGTTGTTTGTTTTTCAGGATCCAAGTTCACTCATTCACCATGAGACAGCAATGGATCTTAATGGTGCCGAGTGCGAGCCTGCCGTAGACTACAACAAGAGACCCAATGTGTTCAGACTTCGACTTGCTAGTGGAGGGGAATATCTCTTCATGGCCAAAGATCAGGTGAATATGAATACTGACATTAGACAAGATCACAATCTTTTATAGAAAATATAAAAAAATCAATAAAAAATATGCTATATCTTGGCACAATGTGACATAATTTGGTCATTTCACTGTAATAATTTGTAAAACTAAATTTTGATATTCCAATGTTAACAGAAATTAAAATTAATTAAAATTTATCATTTAGTGTAGGTACTTGTTTCCTGCAAGATACAGGATAATCTGTAGATATTAATATTTTGATGTGTTTGTGATGGCCGAGCTGTAGGCTGACATTTTAGTATGATGATAAAAGGTTGATATAATTGAGCCGCGCCATGACGAAACCAACATAATGGGTTTGCGATCAGCATTGATCCAGACCAGCCTGTGCATCCGCGCCTTCTGATCAGGATCCATGCTGTTCACTTACATACTCTATAACAAGTAGAGAAAGTGATAGCGAACAGCATGGATCCTGATCGCGCGGATGTGCAGGCTGGTCTGGATCCATGCTGGTCGCAAAACCATTATGTTGATTTTGTCATGGCGTGGCTCATATGTATTAAATTTGTAAACTTTTTTTCTTCTGGGGGTGTCTCATTGTATATTATACAAGTTTTTCATTGCTTTAATTTTCAGTCTGAAATGGATCGGTGGATGGGAGTAATAAACAGCACAGCTTCAAAAGGCGGCGCTGCCCCTACCCGATCACAGACCATGCCTGCCAGAACAGATGAACCAAAAGATTCCGCAAAGAAGAAAGGATTTCTAACTTTTAAAAAGAAATAAACATTTATTAAATTAATTTTAGGACAATTTTTAATTAGTTAAAGGAATTTTCATTGTGTCATAATATACCGGAAAAATGAAACACTGGTTTTGTTACTCAGACCATTAAAATCGTCAAAGTCTTAGTGTGTATTTATAAACTATTCATAATCATTAAAGGCATTGTTTACGACTGAAAATGGAATCGGAGTGGAATATATGAGAATCAACAATGGACTGAAAAAAACTTCTAAAATCGGAAAATTTGTGAATAAAGAAAACTATATAAACAGTTATTGGGTGTTGAAAATAACTATTATGTATTGTATTATTGTCACTTTATTTGTGTATCTAACCAAGTTGGAAAATGCATCGCATCGCCAGATTTTCCAATGTAGAGCTTTTTGTGGTCCCATACCATTGATTTATTCATGTATTATTTCGTGTACACATTTAAACTTTTTATATGGATAAATGTCGGATGAGTGGATGGGTTAAAGTCGGATCATGTAGAGAGAGTTGTTTCCCTTTGTATTGATACATGAAAACCAGATCTGTTTTTACAGAAGTGTTACTAAGCAACAGATATTTGTTGCTATGACAACGGTCTGGTCAATAGGGTCTTTTTTGCTTATAGGAAAGGCAGCTTAATAGTTTAAACTGATGGGATAAGGGAACTTTTTTTTCCAGCATATATTGATATACATGATAAATTCAAATTTAATTCTGCTTTCTTTTTTTAAGTTTGTAAATAATGTAAAAACCTAGTCGTGAGCTATAGAAGAAAAGAAAGGTGTTTTTTAAAAAAAAAATTGTTTTAAACATTTTTTTTTTTGTCCTCTCTATGTAGATGGCCTTGCTATTTATAAAGTTATATGTCTGTTTTACTGTTAAATTACACAAAATATAAAAGTTGTGTTTTTTCTTTTCTTTTTTTTCTTTGTGGTTTAAAATAATCATGTTGTTCTTATATTTGTCAAACATCTTTTTTTTATATAAAAAATAAAAACTTTCTTGTCTTAGAAGTTTTTTTTTTTATTCATCAATAAAGCCTGTTAGTGGATGTTTAATCTGGTAATATGTTACTGATGGTGGTGTTGTGAATGTCTTCAGCCTATCTGCATGAATTATCTCCCTTAGTTGAGTCATACGTGTAAAATAAATATATTTAGGTCATTTTAAATTTTAGACCTAGATTTTTATACTATAGTCTCATATCACCATTACATATGGTATGAAATACTATGATTTTTATATTCTTCCTAGTTTATAAACAAATAAATATTATTTAAGAAGAAAAATAGTTAACACGTGATTTTTGAGTTGCTTTAATTTAGATTATATATTACGCTTTATCGACATATATATTTTGCTAGCTGTCTCTAGTTATTTTTAGTTACCAAAAGCTTAACATTTTATATATTCAGTTGGAAATGTTTATTTTTTACTCAATATTATCAATGTATGAAATTTAAATTTACATATTTAGTACATATTTTGGTACGAAATACTAAAGTGCTCTATGTTTTAACGCAATTACATGGCTTTTTTCCCCAACATTTATTTTGCTTTATTATTTTTTTTTGTCTTTTTTTTTTTTTCAAGAACAATAACACATTTTTGCTTCCTTTTTTTGTTCATTCACAAAATAGTACTTCTTGCTTGATTTTAAAAGCAGAACAATTTTAGTTTGATTTTTTTTAAATTTAAATTACTAAAGATCACCTGTTTAATGGTAGAAATTATAACTTAAATGTTACGAATTATATCATTTTATAGTCATCATTCATCCATAGGCTTGTATGTCTTTTATTGTCATTATTCGGTCGGTGCAATCTCTTTAAAACAAACCAAGATCTTGATGCAATAATGCACTATATGGTGTATGTTACATGTCAAGATAGCATATTCTTGCTGTCGAGAAATAGTATATATTTCTGTCAAGAGATGATATATTATTGCTGTCGAAAGCTAGTACAGTGGCTGTTAAGATAATATAGGGATTGCTGTCAAATACCCATGGGTTTCTGTCAAGTAGTATACCACTGTCGAATAGTATATTATCACTGTCCGAGATTAGTATAAATTATTGTCGAGATAGTATTTATGCATGAAAGGTCTTGTTAAACATCATTCACCTCCTCACATCTCCATGTAAAGCTTACTTGCTCTAACATTCAGTCTGTCACTATTTCAGCATGTATTGTAATACAGGCTATCAGAATAATAAAAAATATGTCATCAGTATACATTGCATTGTTGTTTGTTTCTCTTACTCTCGTATGTTTATGTTGTTCCTCCTCACTCTACTCTTTGATTTGTTTTTATGTATATCTTTCATGTATAGATGAACTATTAGTAACAGGTAGGGAATCTTGATTTTGTTTCTTAAGTATTTAAAGAGGCAAAAATGAAGTGGGTATATTATTTGACCTCCTTGTCTGTCTGTCTGTCTGTCTGTCTGTCTCTGCGAATTTATTGAACAGTGGCTGCATATCATCCTTATTCTATGCTAGATGGCAAACAATATACCAATTGGCCAAAATTTAAATTGTGAAATGGATGACATTCAGTATCAGTTTTTTTTTCTCTCCATTATTCAATAATTTAACAGTAAACTTGATGTATTAACATATTTGAAACAGGGACGTTTGTGTTTTGGTACTTGCAAAATTTCACTGCGGTAGCTTTTGCCAATTTTAAAGGCTCTAAGATTTTCAGGGTTTTTCTGTTAGTTTACCACATGACTCCTCATAAAAAAATAATAGAAAATTTTCCCTATTACTGAAGCTTGCTAACTAAGATTATTTGAAATGGGTCTAATGCATGCCATTGAACAAAACTTGAAAAGTTATTATTAGATAATTCGGTAAGGTTCATTTCAAGATACAAAGTTTTTTGTGTAAATTTCAGGCAGTCCAAATTTAGTTTTACAAGTTTTAACTGGAACTTTTTGCAGCTAGAAATAAGGTTCAACACTTGCGTGAAGGCGAGGGGGGGGAAAGGGGGGCCCCCTTAAAATTCTGAGTACATTTTTCATTGTTATCTACTGGTAGGAAAGGGCAGTAAAAGGGCTAACTGGAAAACCCTTTTTAAACCAAATATTTTTTTTTTAAAAAACCAACTAAAAAACGAAAATAAAAGTATGTTAAAGAAAAAGTGTGTGTATTTTAAAATTTTTCCCAAATTTTTAAATTTTTTACCCAAACCGTAAAAATTTCATAAAGTTCCTTGGGGGGGTTTTTTTTTTTTTAAAAGTTTTTTATTACTTAGTTTTTACAGTCGTCAACTGTTTTAACAGGTTACGTGGGCAAAAGGTTAAATTTTTTCATTCCGTGAAAGGGCTAAAGGGGAAAATGTTTTCGCATTTTTATGACGATTTTTTTTAAACCCTTCTTTGGTCTTTCAAAAATTAAAAAAAGTTCTGATCTTTATTTTTAAAAAAATAAAAGAAAAACGGATCATTTTTCTGGGTGAACAAAAACAAAAAAGCTTTTTTGAAAACTTGCACTTATATAAAAAGATCAGATAAAATCGTTTTAAAAAAAAATTTTACAGTTTTAAATTCTTGATAATGGGCCGGGTTTTTAAATATTTTTTTGAATTTTCCCCTTTTTAAAAAAATTTTCCAATAGGGAAAACTGTCCTTTTTGGTTTAACATCAATTTAAAAAAATTTTTTAAAAAGGGTTTATTGTTTAAAGGGTGGGGTTAAAATACTGCCCCCCTCATTGGGCTAAAATAATTATTTAAAAATAAGACTGCTTATTATGGGAAAAAAATTGTAGAAAGGGAAAGTAATCTGGCCCTTTAAAAAAGGAGAGCAATGTTTTTTCAAAGTTGCAGTAGCTCGGACGACGAATTCCCGCCGTAAGAAATCTGATAAGTTAACGCCCCAAAGACGTCACCATGCATCATTAACAAGATGGATGAAGATTGTTGGGCCAGGTTTTTGACTAAATAAATTATAAATGAAAATCAAACCGTACTAATTCGTTTAATTTCTATCATATTACATATGACAATGTATGTGTTGCATACAGACAAGACAGACTTACAAATGAAGTCCGCTGTCCACATGTACCTCGGTATATAGTACATAAATTTGTATACCGTATACATGTATGCCCAGCATAGAGAGGGTAAGTTACTCCTCGGTCAATCAAAGATATTCCATGTGTCAGGGTCTTTCAAATATTTGAAGGTCCCTGCATTTATAGATTGTCTAAAAAAGGCATAAAATTAATGAGAAAAAAAAATCGAGAATCAAGTTCCATAGTTTTCAAATTTCTTCGACAGTTGAATGTGGATGAACCAATCACTGAGTAATAATTGATACTCTGAGATCATAGACATTACTTAAAAAGAATATACTTAAAATAGTGCCACGAGTGAGGCTCGAACTCACAGCCTCCGCATATCATAGTTCAGTACGGAGCGCTAACTGGATATCATATTGAGTGAACAGCCAAGTTAAACTATCTGCCAGAGAATTGTATTTTAGTTTTAAAAAAGTTTGTATATTATAGTGATATATGAAATGTACAAGCTTTAAAAAATGACTTTTATTGATAATACAATTCAGTCCCATTATGCTGTTTGGAGCGTTAAACGCTCTTTGAAACTAAAGAGTTTGCAGTGTTTGATGACTACAAGAACCTGTGCGTAAGAGTCCTCCTTTGATTGAAGACTTGGGATTACTCTAAGCCTCCGCAATATCTGTGTTTCACAATTGACTTTGGTATCTTTTGCCAATTTAGAAATGAAATCTTTTACGTCTTCCCCTTATCAATGATGTTTTGAGTGGTTCTAGCGATGGATTCGCGTAGGCGCCATTCGGTTTCACGAAACTTAAATATCATTATTTCAAAAAGTTACTTCAGATACAAATATTCTGTGTGTTTTAGGCAAAACATAAAATTTGATGGTTTTAAATCCTCAAATGACCTCTAAGTAATAGAAAGAGCACCGAAACATGAGGCTATCTGATTTGTATGAGGGGCGTAGCCCCCGAGTATAAATCAGATTGCCGAGTGTTTTGATGTTCTTTCTCTTTTGTATCATAGTCAAAAATAGAAACACGTTCCCTGATGTCACAATATGAAACCCCAGAAAAAAGGAACCAATGAACGAGCATCTGAATATGATATTTCCATCGCTTTCAGTTTCTCCGTCGTCACAATATGTAAACCCCAGACAAAATGAACCAATCAATGGGTATGCTCTGCAGTGCGGGTAACTAATACCTGCATTGTATCATAGTTTGGGGACTTTTCTGTTGAAAATGTGTCAGAGTTAAATCGTATAAATATACATGCACAGTGCGTTAACTGGAGTGCATGCACACAAGTCTTAAGGAGAACTAAAAATAGTGCCCCGGGTGAGGCTCGAACTCACAGCCTCCGCATATCATAGTTCAGTACTGTCTATAAGTACGGCGCGCTAACCGATTGCGCCACCGGGGCTAACTGGAAGTAGGTCCTGGAGAACAAAATTCGAATACTTTGGACTAAGACTATTCTACAGTGTATCATACATCCGGAAAGATCAGTAAATATTAAGCAATGTATAGTAAATGAAAGTAAAAAAAATACCAACACATATATATTACAATTTCCAGTAGTTGTAGTCTTCAGACTCATAAATGAGTCATTTTGCAGCTGATTGGGGACGTAATATTAGAAATAAACAAGCACTACAAAAGAAGTGCCCCGGGTGAGGCTCGAACTCACAGCCTCCGCATATCATAGTACTGTCTATAAGTACGGCGCGCTAACCGATTGCGCCACCGGGGCTTACTGGAGATAGTTCTTGAAAAACAAAATTCGAATACTTTGGAATGTTTTCGAAATTTGGCTACAGAAGACTAAGACTATTTTTCTTCAAATATTCTGCAGTGTATCAAATATTCGGAAAATTCAGTAAAGCTGAAGTAAAAGTTGAAAAAAATATGAATATCTGTTACTATTTCCGGTGGGATTAGTCAACACTGGGTCATTTTGTGGTTGATCGAGGATTTGCAATTAGAAATAAACAAGCATTACAAAAGAAGTGCCCCGGGTGAGGCTCGAACTCACAGCCTCCGCATATCATAGTACTGTCTATAAGTACGGCGCGCTAACCGATTGCGCCACCGGGGCCTTACGATCACTATGCGATATAAGATTCAAGTTTACCAATAAGACAAGTGGTACAGTTAAATGGTCGATAAAATGTGTCACTATGTTTAAGTCTTACTTCAATAATGATCTTAGTTAAGTGTTTTGTACGTGGTTAAAGTATTTTACATATATTGTAAGATGAAATAGACATTAAAAAGTACCAACATTATAAATACATGTATACATTTAACGTGACCAAATAAGACATTGTTATCTATATCAAAATTATAGACACTATGTACGCTCATATATAGACATATACATGTATATTTATAACAGTCGGGACAGTAAACAAACAAAAATCAATGAACCATTTTACGTTTCAGTCACTGTTACTTAACATATCCCTCCAAACATGAAACTTAGAAAACAAAAGTGTATGTCTTTTTTTTCTTTGCTTTACAAAACAGTACAAAAATCTTATTTGATTTAATGGATTTTTAAAGCTGTATATTGGAAGAAGTTTTGTTGAATTAAGGATGTATAAAGTATAATTTAATTGACAGAGTTGGACAAACTACATAAATAAATTACCGGGCGCTTAATAAGTGTAAAAATCTATTGAAAATGGTACGTCAAAAACTTTTTGACAAATAATGATAAAAAAAATACAGAGAATTCCTAGCCAAGTTCGTTACCATTTCTCTTATTTAACTTCTCCGGTTTAACTTGTTTTCAAAGCAGATTTAAAATGATTTATGCATGAATATTTAAAAAAAAAATTTAGATGGGCAAATCACAGCCTCAAAATTGTTTTTATTTTTAGTTGCACATCTCCTGATAGTATTCGTTTCAATTTTTTAAGTTATAAATTACTAATTATGTACACAATGCATACATATAAAGTGGCTAAGCGTTATTGTAAATATTTAAACGATCGCTTTTAATATCGATCTCTGCTATTGTAAGTGCGTGAAATTAGAATTTGATACGATTTAAATGCTATTTTCCCTACAGTTTGTTTAAATAAATCGATTTTTAAGGTTCGATATTCTTTAAACCTGCACTTAAGCGTTATAAATACAGTGACGTTATGTCACAATCTGCGAGAGCGTTCAACGATACAGACGTCGCCCATAACAACTCAACAGTGGCAAAATGGCGGCGCTCAGTATGGGAGCGTTTGGCGCTTACAAACATGCGTATAGTAAATATGTGCAGGATTTAGAACAACGCGAACGAGAAATTTTAAACGGAGAAGAGGAGGCTCCCGAAGTTGAAACTGTTTGGATAACTAAAAGATATGCTCCAACCGACTTACGCTTAAGCGCTCCAGTTCCCCGCCACAAGCTCTTGGCGCCAAGGCAATTGCCCGTGCCAGAGCGTCACTGGATGCCAGCCGGAGACCCTCCACTGAGAAGTTTTGAGAGGAGCACCTCGGCTTTAATCTACAGATCTCACCAGTCGACGAGATGTGAGGATTACTCAACTCTTCGACAAATGCTCCCCTCTGAAGGAAGTGTCAGAAAAATTAATCCCCCAAGCTGGGGAACCAGTTACTCCCTGCCTCCATTATGTATTGATAGACCGGCCAAAAGATTTCCGTTAGTGAACAGCCCTATGACCAGGTAACACATTTTTCATTTCTGTTTTTCTATAATATTTTCAGTTTTAAAATGAGCTGCTTTTTACAAGCATTTACCAAATGAAAACCACGATAGGATAAGGCAATTCGGGTTTTCAATATAGCATTCTCAATTGAGTTCAATCCTGTAGATTGTACCTTTTTTTTATTTCTGTGGGAAATATAATATCATTTCCCTTTGAAGCATGTAAGATTGAAAATAAACAATATTTTTTATTACAGTTGCACCTTTTCTTTACGTGTTCATTATATGACTTATTGAATCTTAACTCGAAGAATACCACTAATTGTTATTTTGTTTGTTGGTTGATTTTTAAAGATAAAAGGTGTCTTAAATAACAGACACGCAAGTTTAACATACCCTTATCCATCATTTTGAGAAAAAAAGAAAATAAAAGCTCTGTATAAAATGTATTACAGAGAATAAACTACATGTATATAAATTTATACAAAATACGACTAAATATATCAATTATATGCCATTTTATCAACAGTTTAAATTTTAAAAAGGCCTTTCGTTTAAATAGTCTTAAATATGAATATGCCATGGTGTATTGTTTATTTAACCACATTTTTATACATTTAAAATACTATCTTTATTTGTATTGTTAACAAAATGTCTGTCATACATGTAAACACATTGATTATTGCATATTGAACTTCTGTAGTATATCTAATTGTTATCAATGTACAAATAATGTCTTAAACATTATCGTGAACAGACTGTCGGGGGATTTAAGATAACCTCTTGTTATATATACATAATTCATGAGCAGAACATGTAATAAATGGCCATAGATCTTATAAAACGATTGATTAAACGTATATATGAGCCGCGTCACGACAAAACCAACGTAGTGTGTTTGCGACCAGCATGGATCCAGACCAACCTGAGCATCCGCGCAGTCTGATCAGGATCCATGCTGTTCGCTATCAGATTCTCTACTTGTAATAGGGTTGATAAGCGAACAGCATGGATCCTGATCAGACTGCGCGGGATGCGCAGGCTGGTCTGGATCCATGCTGGTCGCAAACGCATTATGTTGGTTTTTGTCGTGTCGCGGCTAATATATATCTTCTCACCGCGTGTGAACACTGAAATATTTGTTAATGTAATCAACTAACATTTATATTCTATTTTAATTGTATACTGTAGTTAAGACGGTCTACTTTTTTTTAACAAATATATTCTCTAGGTCTGACCGAGCATATAGTAAAACCTGTACCAATGAATATAAATACCGTCGAACATGTGTGAATGACCATCGTCTATAATGTATTTTTTTTCTCTAATTTCCGACTAACATATTTATAATAATTAAAAAAAAAGAAAAGACTCCAGTAACGTTCAAAATATTATAAAGTTAAGTACAAGCATGATATACTTGATAGTTTGTTTTCTTGTTTGTTTTCTTGTTTGTTTTCTTGTTTTCTTGTTTGTTTGTTTTATGTGATGTTTAAATATATACATGTATACTCAGGCCTCTTGGAAAGATTGTAGTTATATATTGAAGGTAAATTATGTAAAGAAATAATGAAGCACATGACCGATATTGGCTGAAAACGTAATACAGTGTACCTCCTTTTTATTTTATAAACAGTCTATAAACATTCGCATTGAATTACTAGCAATTATTGAGATATAAAAAATCGAACTTAGATCTTTAGATATTAAGTTTTGATATTATTGAAATTGTCATGCTTTACCCATTTAATCACTTTTAATGAATACCTAAACAGTAGTATGCAATTGCTTCAAGAAGAAGCAAAGCGTTTCCTACAAATTTTATCCATTAAGATATATGAGATAAATCTAAACAAATCAAAATTTGTTTTCATTTCCAGATACGTTGATGACATGCACCTGACCAACCGACTCTTCAAGCTCCACTAGCGCCCTCTACAGTCAGCCTCGATTCCATTTTTTTGTCATTTGCGTGCTGCAATCAAATTTGTGTGTGTTCATTTTCTTTCATATACGTATTCGTAAAAACTGAGTACTATTTGTAAACATTCTTGTTTGTGTGTTTACTTTCTTAGAAATGTAGCATTGCTCAAAATGTATGTGCACTAGAAAAACATATTTATTTTAAACATTTTTTTATTCTAAATGTATGTGTATAAGAAATTGCGCTATCTTTTCATATTTGTTTAATTATGATTTATGTCAGTTAAAGAGTTAAAGAAGCAGAAATTGGAAATGCGTTTTTTTTCTTGTGAATATGTTAATTATTTATGTAAACATCAATTTATGACTAGGTCTTATTTTGATGAATATTATAAATCGAATAAGTGAAAACTATATTTTTAACTATAAAATTTGTCTTCGAAACATAATAATACTGTTTAAATATTTCTGTACAAACTAATTGTCAGAAGGCTTTTTTAATCCGGAAAGCAAACTCATCACAGTGATTACTTCCCTTGGCAGATTGTACTGAAAAGGGGAGATCACTGCGTAGGAGATTGTCCGGAAAAAATATAAAATAAGAATAATATGGAATATATGTCTGTAGATAGTTAGTGTACATTTGGAATTTTTAGAGAGAAAGATATGTTGTAAATTCACATAAAATGTGACTTTCTACTTCAGAAAACCCCCGTATTTAAAAAAATATCTATATATAGATTATGTAAAAATTCATATTTTAAATGTCCTCTTTAGTCGCATTATCAGTATTAGAAAATATTTCCCAATGTTAAAATAGGGTAAATCTGTTGTTAAACACTATATATTTTAGTATTAAACAAACGCTTTATTTATTATTTGTTATACCGAGCAGTATTATTATATAGTAAATAAAGAAATACATATTGTTACAACTTGTTGTGTGATTTGTTTCTTGCATTAAGTAATATTATACCTTTCTGCTGAATCGTTTCTTAAAGGATATATCTCTATATTTGATGGTAGACAAAGAAGAACCAGAAAGTTTTAAAGCTTAAAACTCGTTTGTGTATTGGTCAGCATATTTTTTTGGATTTTACAAGAGCTTAGACACATAAGTACAATGCACTCATACAAAAAAATAAATGTTTCGGCTTAGTTCTTACCAACTTAATTCGTTTTTTTTAAATAATATAAGTATATATTAACAAAAAACATGTCGAATAATTTCTAGCAACGAAACATTGTGAATAAGATTTATGAAAGAAGGTGTCTTCTAAGATTATAAAGATGTTTCCTGAGCTCAAACTCGGATTTCAGGTATCTGATTTGTCAGAAACTGCATGACACAGAATGTGCACTGACCAATGAAAAACTAACGATTGGAGACATAATCCGGAAACATGTTAACAGACCGACAACAAATCAAATTGGACAATATACACTAAATAAATACTAGCCGTAGAAATTGAAAAGGTTTGACGAATTTACACGATTTATTGTTCTTTGGAAAAGTTTAATAAAAAGACAACCAGGAAAGTTTTTATCAATTTCACTAACAAATGGATATACATGTACATAAAAGTAAAGAAATGCTTAATTTAGTGATAATTTGCATACAAAATGTCACATGTGCGTAAAAGAGCCGCCCAAAATATATTTGTCAAGACTGATATTTCCCGAGTGACATATAGACTTACATAATACTACTAGCGGATCTGGTTATATATGAAAACAACCGTTTATATACGGCCATATAACCTGTCAAGAATCTTTGTAATGAATTTATAATAAAGCAAATTTCCTTTTAGAGGAAAAAAAACAACGCCGCTAAATGTCGCACTTTCCGCTAAATGTCGCACCATTGCCGCTAAATGTCGCAAAATCTTCTGCCGTTAAATGTCGCAATGGTAACATTAAATGTCGCACGATTTTTTCTTGTCGTTTCTTGTCAAGATGGCTGTTGTCTTTGAATGAACTGTGGTCACTTGCTTACAGAAGTTTAGATTGATATCGGTTCATATAACCTGTCAAAAATCTTTATAACAGTTAACTAGAATATAAACATCACGATTAGCCAACGTTACAAACCGTGCAGTAATTTAAATTACAATATAAACCAGTTATACAAAATATGTTGCAGCACAATGACAATATCAACATAAATACATTTTGATACATACATTTATATCATTAAATGCTGAGAAATGTCATAATCTAACACATCTGAGTATACAGTCTACCTCTGCAAAACGTCCCTCAGTAGACTAATAACCGCTTTACAACCAACAGCATTTTTCTTACCTGAAGAAGTCCATTAATAAACACAATCAAACCGACCCTGCACCATTTTCAATTTTGCCGTCTTGGGCGGTTTGTAGGGATTCCGTTTTTCTTGAGTCAAAATAAATGAAACACCAGCAGAGAAACACCTCTTAGCAACTCAGTAACTACCAAGATCTTTGTCTTCCAGAGGGTATCGCTCTGCAGAGGTTGTACTTTATATTCAGTCCTTGGATATTTTAAGGAATAAGCGTTCTGAGTAACAACTTCTTATGTATTAAATTTTTACCTTTCTTCAAAGAGACAAGAAGTTATAAAAGCGTTTTAGGAATACTTTTTGTCTCCTCACCTAAAACATGTACATGTGTATATCACAAAGAAGTTGTTTTATATAGCCACCTGAACTGCTCTGTCCAGAACGATCAAGTTTGTTGACCATTTTTTTATTTTATAGCTTCTTTGCATATTAGCGATTTTACAATTTACAAAAAATGCCGATCTAATATCTACAAATATATTAACGTGAAAAAAGGTATATATCGAACCGTCAATCTTTTGTAAATGTTTCCTCTTCATCAGGGACATAATGTAACGTGACACGCTACTGGGGTTTAGTAACGGGTAATCTTTTGTCCAATTACGCGCGCATGCCTGCATTTTGTCTTGTTGATTTTTGTGAAAGATTTTTTTGTCAAGTCTTCATGGACGTTTTTACGGATCTTGACAGATAAATTCCTTTTTAAAATTAATATAATAATCTTCACCATTTTCATCCTAGTGTACGGATCGACAACGTACCAGTGACTTGAAAAGGTCCGTCGCGTCCGTCCTAAATGAGCTTGCTCTGAGGAAATAAAGTATGAAATTGACAGAATAATTTGTATAAAACAGAACATTTATAACTGACCAAATAATCTCCATTACAGCGTTAGGTGGAACAGTTCCATAACCACGTGACAGGATCCAATCACTGTACATAACTAGGAACATTGTCATTGGTGTGTAACATATCATGTAAACAATGTTGAGTCCTACCAGCAGGACAGTGGTTTGACGGTTTTTTAACTTCTTGGCATTTTCTCTCTGATTTATACTCAGAGGTAAAACGGATCTTCTCGCATTTCTTCGCACGACAAACAGTCGAACAGCAATAGAAATGTTAATAGTGAACAAAATAACTAGTGGAGTAAATACAAACATTATTATTGTCATCTTTGGCCAATCATTCAACACGAATCGTTCGTAACTGTCGTTGATTGGGTAGCAGTTACGTTCATTTCTTTTGCCCATACCGTAGATGACATGCATGTTGAGCAGAGCAATAGATGCCGTAACGAACACAATGCTGATAGTTGCTCTTCGACTTGAACATAAGGTCTGTCTTTTAAATGGTAACCACGTGGCGATAAACCGTTCAATAGTTACCATGACAACCATGCTAGAGGAGACCTGAGATCCAAAATACAACAAAAATAGTTGTATTTTGCAAATGAAAGTTGAATACTCTCTCATTTCCACGCCAAAGCCATTGTACAGCCAGTTTCGAGGTAGCGCCGCCCAAAGAACGATACTATCGGCTATAGCAAGAGCAGTCAGATATCTGGCTATGCTAGAGTTACGGTTCTTGCGTTTCATCAGAACGACAATGGATATAACGTTACCGAACGTTCCTAGAATTAGCAAGCAAAGGGGAAAAACTCTCCAAATACCGACGGAAATATATAATAGCATTCTCAGTGATTTGTTTCACTTTTGATTGTTTTCGAATGTTTGATTTACATTCAGTCAGAAAGTTGTATTTATTCCGTTTTTCATGTTTTCACACCGTATACTGTTTTGATTACGTTAACATTACTCTTTACATCGTCGTGCATATATACATGTATATCTCAAACTTACACTCTATATATGTCGTTTGGTAAAGAACCATGTTTATTATAGCAGAAAATACAGCAGAGAATGCAATATCTCCAATCATATTTTCTCAGGAATTTCTGTCAAACTCCGGATAATAATTAATATTGTTAATTTTATAATTAATAATAGTTGAGATGTTCCGATTGGTTTCAAACTATAATTTAAAAAGCTTGTTGAAAAATAGTGCCTCCATTTTTTTCGTTTTAAGTGTCTTTTTATTAGTTCTTAATAGAAAATCTTAAACGATCAGTCTTTGGCACACTAGGTATGTTCAAAAAGTTCGTGGATTTTTGCTGTCATTGTTTTAAATTATCTTGGTTGATATATATATATACCGCTTCGTTGTGTTGCTTCTCCGATGTAGAGTTTTTTCTGAAATATAAATATAGAAAATGTAAAGAAAAAGACGAAAATGTGTCCAAGAAGTCTCTGACTTATACCCGGCTAAAATATTACAATTTCAACGCGTTATATCAAAAAAAGATGTTATCATTTTTATTATTATTTTACTTGTCTGTATGACTTAATAACAAACAAAAACACGATGTTTAAAAAATTGAGATAATACATGTATAAGTGAATCGTCATTTAAAAAAATCAACACTTGTATGAAATCATTTCTCAAAAGGAAATTTCAGATTTTGAATAAAATGTTGATTTCAATATAAAATCATTTATGTACAAAATACTAAAAAAATATTACAACGTAGCAAAATTAAATAATTTTACATTTAGGAAAAATAGAACGAAAACAAATGTTCACTTTACCTTGTAATTGGAGTTTTTTTTTTCTTTTTGCGACTGCTTTAAGGTGTGTCATAAATACAGTCGGTTAAATGGTTGCCAACGCAACGTGGATGACGAGGCTACTTGTAATAGAAATAGCATTTAAACACGAGGCTATCTGATTGTACAAAGGCGTAGCCCCAGAGTATAATTCAGACTGCAAGTCTTTTGTTGTCCAAAAATAAAAATACTTTCCCTGTCATCACAATACAAAACCCCAGAAAAAATTGACCAACGTGCAATCATTTTAATATATTTTTTCATATTTATATATCATTATCTAACACTCTCTTAACGTCTTGTTGCTTATATTCAGATGCTTGCACGTTGGTCCATTTTTTTTCTGGGATTTTGTATTGTGATGACAGGGAAAGTATTTCAATATGGAAATCCGGGCTCTTCTTCTTCTTCTCGTTTTCTTGTTGTTGTTGTTTTTATTATTATTATTATTATTATTATTATTATTATTATTATTATTATTATCTCTAACTAATTATAGATATAAAGGCATACACTAAATAGACTTAATAATCCTCTTAACATTTTGATCAATGTAATTAAGGCGTTGTTAGTGACGTCAACAGAATAAATCTAATGAAACTAATATAGTGGTAACAGTGACCGGTCAGTTTTACATTAAATATTAGTAGACCAATGGAAATTATGTATAAAGGACATATTAAGCCTGAGTTTAGAACATAATTGAGCCGCGCCATGGACAAAAACCAACATAATGCGTTTGCCGACCAGCATGGATCCAGACAAGACTGCGCATCCGCGCAGTCTTATCAGGATCCATGCTGTTCGCTTACCAACCCTATTACCCTATCAGCAAAACTGATAGCGATCAGCATCCATGGATCCTGATCAGACTGCGCGGATGCGCAGGCTGGTCTGGATCCATGCTGGTCGCAAACGCATTACGTTGGTTTTGTCATGGCGCGGCTCA